CCACTTCCTCAAAGAGGACAATACCATCATATCACCTTAACCCTAACCCACCCTTGTCAGTTCCCAGGCCACTGTGACAACCCAGGAGGGACCAGGATGGAACAAATAGGTGGGTAAACTGACAGTTTAGAGGACTTTGTCCATTTCATCCAGTTCTGTGAAGTCCATTGGATGTCACAGAAGTGAACTCAGCCCAGCTAACCTCACAAGATTATGTCCTGGGCAGATTGCTTGGACTTGCACAGAGTCAAACTCCAAGGAAATCCAAGCATGTTAACACCATACCTCCAAAGTGTAGGAGATGATTTCAAGAGTTTTAAAGACTAAAATGGGAATTTGAAAAATCTGCAAGAGTAATATATAGTATATATATCACCTCCATTGAAGACATCTGTTTTTAATAGAATGCCTTTCAATGTTTGTTTTTTTCTCAGAATCTTCCTATATTTTTGGTTATAAAGACATTAGAGACCATTCATTATACAAAGAATGCAACTTTAGGGCTCATATTTGTAGTTTACTGTGCCAAGCCACTTCTTATTGGTGCAGTTTGCTGACTCTTATAAAATGAAATCACTTTGGTTTGTGCTCCCTGTAGAGACTGCAACATCTTTTTTCTTTTGGCTAAAAAAGTCTTCCTTTTCTTCTACATTTAAAGAATATTTCTTTATAATCCACCATTGTTTCATGACAATTTACCATTTGGCTGTATTAATCTTAGCTTCCAATGCTAGAGATGAAAATGTCATGTTGACTGGAATGTGATTACAAATACGTGACATAATTTTTAGCCTGCTATTAGCAGTTTCCTCTCCACACTGCACTAATTTGGCAGATTTACTGCAGTATAATAGCAATATTGGGAGAGATCAAAATACATGTCTTCCCCCCACCCCAAAAAATAGGTCTACTTGGCTTCACAGCATTATGTTTGGATAGTTTTTCATCCACTGGTTTAGTAAATGGTGCAGTTTTACAGAGAGCTTTCTGTTGATTCTGCACCTGCTTGACTAGCTTTTGATCAAAGAATCATAATCTATACTGGCTTATGTGTGTATGCTTTGAAGAAGAACAAGTACTGAGCTGGCTGTTAAGCCTATATGTTATTCACTGGCTTCTGACCCTTCATTATCTGATGGAAATCATTTTGCCAGAACTGTCTGTCAATAACTTCTCTAAGTTCTTGTAAGCTCATGCCTAGGTCATCAATGATAGCATCTTGTCTTCTGTCTGCTTTTTGTTTCCTTTCCATTTGTTTCAGACATCAAGGTCTCCAACGACTCCTGTGCTCACATTATGTGCTCAAAATATTTAAGCATCATCTGTTGACATAATCTTAGGTTTTTTGTTTTTGTTTTTTTAATGTTGACCAGCAGACCAGCTTTTGCACTATATCCTTTCATCTTCAAGAAGGCTGTTTAAAATCTTCCTTGCCTCCAGTGGTCAAAATTAGAATATCTGAAATAGCTGATGTTTCTCCTGGCAATTCTAATTCCAGTTCCTACTTCTTCTAGACCAGCATCTCTCATAATATGTTTTGCATATAAGTTAGATAAATAAGGGGACAGTACACAACCTTGGCAAACTCCTTTCCCAATTTTGAACATTTAGAGTTGTTGTATATTCTTTTCTAATGATTGTTTCTGGTCAACATACAAATTCCTCAATAGGCAAGTGAGCTGGCCTAGTACACCCTGTTTTCAATCCACAATTTGTTGTGGTATAGTCAGATGCATTTTGTGGAACTCCCTTGTCTTTTCCATTATCCATCAGAGGTTCACAATGTGATTTTGATTGCCTCTGCCTCTTCTGAATCCAGCTTCCACATTGGATGGTTCTTGTATTATATACTATTGAAGTTTAGATTGAAAAATCTTGAACATTACTAACATTACTAACATGCGGAATATTTGGTATTTTGAACATACTTTTGTTCCTTAAAATACCACCTCCATCTTCAATAGGCAAATGCAATAGTGCAAAAACCTCATAAACTCTTAATCGCTATAATCATAATTTATCAGTGTAACGATGATGAAGAGAATGAGAATTATAATGACACAAGGATACCAAATATAGATTACATGGAAGACACTTCCTGAATGATCTAAATAATTCTTGTTATTGAAAAACTGCTGGCTCTCTGCTTGAGTGTATTTTGTTGCTGTATGATTGTATAGACGTTTATATCCTGCCTCTTTCCCTTCCTGCCAAGTTGGCTCAGAATTACCATTTTGTTTCCATTTTTCTCTGGACAAGGCAGCCTGAGAGAAACTGTTGAACTGCCAGGAGCAAAAGGCTGTTGTAATTCATGTACCTCGGCTACTGAGCATTCCTTTACCAATTAAATTGATGGGCACTTCCCTTACAGATAACAGATTTTGCACTGTGGACCAGTTATGAGTCACCATCCTGCTTGTAAGCACACTGGGGAAACCTTTCAGTTGGCCAATCCACAGCTCTGGCAGGAAAGATAATCGATTGCAAAGCATTACTACTCATCCAGTAACTCTTGTGATTACAATGTCAAGACTGTGCATAATCTACCTCTTCTGTCTTTAGGAGGTTCGTGGATGTTAAACAAATATATAAGCCATCCCATTAATTTGAATTTCTTTTCACTGTTTTTTTCCTTGTCTTGATTTATCTTGAGCACAATCTAGAGTTGTTATTTTTCTCTGAAGTCTCCTAAAACTGTTCAACTGCCACTGAGATAGAGTGAGGGCTTTTTTTTGGTTCCTTTTTCAAACACAGCAGTCTGATTTCAACCTTGTTCCTCAAGGCATGAGGAAAAGGCAAGGTCTCTATATCTTTTCTAAAACGTTAAGAAAAGCCTCAGCACATAACGCAACCATGCATTGAGGCCTTCCAGTATGTTCTCCACCTTTTTTTCCTGTTCAGTGATGGTCAGTGAAGATACAAATGACACCTAACCAGTTGAGATTTCATTGTCACCACGGTAACCATGTACACTGCCATGGAAATTACTCAGTGTGTAGTCAGGTAAAATTGCATTGTTTAGATAACAGAAGATGGAGGACCAGCTTGAAAACTCCAAACTGCACTTGTGCTGGATGTCACAGTGTTTCTTAAAGACCTACAAGAAGAAAAGGAGAGCTTTCCTTCTTCCCCTTCCTCCTAATTGTTTTATGCTGAATAATTTTTCCACACATGAAGTTAAAAAAAAACTTTTTTTTTTTACTTACATGTATTGTTACATAATCTCCTTGTTGTGGGGATCCTCTCCTTTATTATTCTTTCTATTCTGCTGTTCCCACTACATCCCTTTGAGTTTTTAGATTTTTTTAGGGCTTTCAAATAATGAAATTGGGTGGAATGTGGAGAAGATATAGGATAATATAGTGAGTGACAGAGATGACCTTGAAGAAACTAGACAGAGGCAATGATTGGAAAAACATGTGTTAAGTCTGGGAAACAGAGAGCCTGAGAAAGAAGCTCAGACTGACTCTTCCCTATTTCACCTGAGTATGAGAGAGAGACAGAGAGAGAAGAAAACTCAGACTTTCAAGATCCTGTTACTGTAACCTGTATCACTAAATGATACTTCTAGTCAGACTTGGGGGATCTGTTTTCTAACTTGGCCTACCTTGAAGTACTGACAGATGACATAGATACTTGGATAACATAGGGAAAAATGGACTTCTATTAAATGACTAAAAACATGAGTTTTAAAAGAGGTTCAATTATCTCTACAGCTCTGTAATTATTAGCTCACTCTGCCCCTCAAATCATTCCTAACCCTTCTTCTCTGACAGGAGAACATATTCACAGGCTAGGACTCCAAGCTAACCTCAGGCCTGTCCTTCCCCCTGCACCCCTCTCTCTGGGCCCTTCCTCCTGCTGCCATATAACCTGGGAGGAGGTACTGTACTCACTGCTGCTATTTTTCTGATGGGCGGTTTTGCCACCCAGTCATCATATTCATGGACCAAATAAGCTACCTTCCATAAAATTGTCACAACTGTTTGGCACAAGTAATTCACCTAAGGCTCACTTTTGTTCCTTGTGATCCTTTAATCTGGAACCTAGTCCCATTTCCCAGACTCTTGCTTTTTACTTTAATCCACAGACTGTTACGCAGGAAAAAAAAATTACTTTCTATTTCTCTAATGCCATTTTCCAGGCTATATTTGGTACATGCAACTTCATTTAACTCTTGAACGTTAAGTCTGCTCAGGATTATTAGCCAAACATGAATGAGCATATCAAACACTCCCCAAATAAAGCACATTATAACCTGTATAAGGTTTGGGGTAATAACAGTTCATCTAAGATGTTACTGGTTTTCAAGTTTTATACAACTCTTACAGTATATTGAATGATGTGGCTTCAAACTAAAGTGTTCTCAAAGTTTTATGATGTATATAAAGCACTCCTTGGGAAACTTAGTAGATTCAAAGAACCATGAAGCTGTGAGTCTCTTTGGAAGCACAAGCCAAAGAATGAAGGAATAAACCCCTGAGACAAAAAGAAAATGTGTGGCAATGCACATTTTCCTTTCGGCTAGCAAGCCATGGCCTGTTCCTCACAACTATCTAAGTATATTATTTCAGCACTCAGTCAGCATTTAATGTATAAATAACCAAATAAAAATGTGTCAGCCTGTGCATAATTTCTTTTATGAAATCAGCCCCAAATTCTGACATATGAGAGGGTGGTGGGGAGGGAGAGCGATTATTAGGATAAATTGCCACTAAATTCTATCTTTAAGAAAGAAATGGCTTTTGAAAGTGTTTTTTTTTCTTGGAAGCATAGAGAAGCATACAATTTCTAACATACAATAAACCTCCACTGACTAAATGTGTGGAAAATGAACAGAATGGATTAAATTGTCTTGCAAATGCCCAAGTTTTTTTTAAAGTAATCCTGTTTATTTTGGTTCTGAAAATATCCTGCGTAACGAGAGCTCCCATTCGTGCCTTGTCAGCCTAAGGACCAAAAGTATTGTGCTGCTTTTCATTTTCTTGAAGGGAAGATTGTATAGCTGAAGTAGCAGAAATTCTGCACACACCAGGACAGAACAGTGCCTTCTCTTCAGGGAAAGGAACTATTTAAGGAGGCATCTAATATGTTTCCTTCCTTACTGCCTCTTTCATTTGAAATATAGCAGCAGATTCTTTTGTTTTCTTTTCTGCAGCTGGAGTTTAAATGACACCAAACAGAATCTACTATTAGATTAGATTACCAGGTAACGTATTCCATCTACATATTAAATTACTACTTAAAATATGAGAGATTGACTATCAATATATTTGTGTGTGTATGTGTGTGTGTGTGTGTGTGTGTGTGTGTTAGAGAACAAATGTAAAATGTATTTGCAGAAAGTATACTGTATTTAATTTCATGAAGTTTAACTAATATGAATAAAACCAATTAAAACCAATTGGCATAAAAGTAATAAAAAGCATTATTCACAAAGTTTTATGAAAAATATTAACATATTGACAATTCCTTAACAGTAGCTTATAAGGCTATACTCATAGCTATGAAAGTACAATGGCATGAGATAATGAATAAAAATATTATATTGTTAACAATCAACTTCTTTTTCCCAAATGCATTTGGAAAAATTCTCTTTCTACTGTTTGGAGAGTAATCCATTAGAATATGGATTTAATGGAATAATTTGAGATGACAGATTATCTGAATAAATCAATCATTTCCCCTGCCCTTTCTCAAAACAGAATTCTTAAGGACAGACTGTAAACATAATGCAGTTACCTGAAAAAATAGATTATCCCTCTCTCCTATTACATTCAGTGTGTGGCATGCAATGTGCAGAATATACTCATGCAGTGTGTGGCTCCGCCAGATGATACTTCCTTAATGCAGTCCAAGAGGAAGCAACCTCTTGTTCAATGTATATCCACCCATTATTGGTCACCCATCCCTCTTTCCTGAACATAAAGACTGATTCAGTGGATCCAGATGTCTTTTTCTTCATGGTCCAGAAATAGCAATTGTTATTGCCATGCTCATTGCTTTCACCAGGAGTATGTGATGGACATGCAGCATTTGTCGGGAGCTTGTTTTGTTCTTCTTATACCTTATACAGAAGGCAAGCTTTAGACCAGACCCCATAAAGGGCATCTACCCTGTATTTTTTAGGATTTAAAAAATCTTTTGGAAGCTGTGTCCAAATCCAGTAAGGGAACAACAAACATGCTTTTGTATGAAGCCATAAAACAAGAGAGAGTATGTAGAGATCTTCTTTACAGCAGTGGATGTAGGCAGTGTCTGTATTCTTCTGTGTAATGGAATGTGTTGCAACTCTATGGGTGTTTGTGCACTATTTCTCCCAAGGACTAATCAGGGTGGGTATATATGTGCAGCCTGTGTGTGTGTATATTTTTGCTCTCTCCTCATATTGTACATGCATATGCGCACAGGACGGCATGGGATGGGCTCCATATGCTCGTGACTGAGTCACATGATCAAGAAAAAGGGGGGAGGGGTGGAACAATCAGCAACATACCAGCTGATTGCCTAATTTCCTCTCCCGTAGGGATGCACTGGGGGAATTTTTCTGGACTTATTTTCTGTAATCCCTCAGCCTGATCCAGCTCGCATTTTATTTTGCTGGTTTCTTCCACCATTCCAAATTTTGCTCTGTTCTGTGTTTGAAGAATTATCCTGCTGATAGCCAGAGAGACAGAGTTCCAAGTCCTTTTACTTAATTGCTTTCCAACATTTCCTTGGGTTGGTAAGAATAAAAACCACCAAAATTTTCCCTGAAGAAAACGTCTGCTAGTCATTTTTAATATATTGACAGGGTAGCATGGTTATATCGCCTGTATTCTGTTACATTGCTTTACTATAAAGTGATAAACAGAGTATTAACAGCCTTATGTTATTAATAATTCCCAACATGTGACCTAAAATAAGAGCCATCTTCATAAAAAAAGATTAGTGAGCTCCCAAAGATTGGTAGATGAGAATTCTGTTTCAACTGATTATGAAATAAAGCCAAAGAACTTGTATTTGTAGATGACAGTGTGACATTCACAAAGGATAAACTTGCAGCAATAGGTCACTTATTAATCTCACCAGATTAAATTCAGAGAAATCAAATATCTAAATTATTTAACTATTAGTTGTAATAATTAATTTCCACAATCTTTCTGATCATTCATTAATTGTGGATTGTGCTTGTCTCCAGAAGGATTGCAGCTATTGTAATAGGTTGATAAAATGAAGTTCAAACATTATTTATCCTATTTATTTTATATACTTACATGAACCTTTCCAAGAAAAAAAGAGACTTCTACATTTACTTGATAGTTATAATTTATAATTAATCTTTTCCCTCTGGATACACACAAGACCCTAACCACTGTCCCCTCTGACATGCTTGATAAAACAAAGTATTTTAGGGAATGTTAGCAATCATACTCCTAACTATAATCAGGTTAATATTTCATTCCATATCTTCACAGGATATACTTTAGATGTTTGCAATAAATGTTTGTTCAGATAAATAGGGCACTGCACTAATATTTCTAGTTATCATAATTCAGATTGGAGCTGTGTTAAACTGTATTTTTCCCCCCACTAATCAATATGGTTCAGAGCAGATGGCTCACATCTGGATCAAACTGCTGTTCGAAAGTTGGTGTCTTGTCCTCCCACAGACCTGCAGTGGTAAAAATGAGATTCCTTCCCCTCCAAAAGTATTTGCTTTCTTGTGACTTTTCTTTGGAAATGGGTACATTGCTTTATCTAGCTTATACACAGAAGATTCCCATCCCTTTGTAATTTTAAATAAAAAACAAATAGTCATTGGCCTTGTCTTAGACTTAATAGGACCTTGTTAAAAATGAAAAGTGCATTATTTTTTATTAACACAATATTCTAACCTCTTTAATCTTCAAATGATCTTTTACTTCTTTTTTGTGCAGCACTCCGGGGAACAATGCAAAAAACAGCCCTAGTCTATTATCTTCTGCTTGTTTATCTGTGCATTGCTCTTGCCCAGAATAAACGCAATGGGATGCCCGGAAGAGCAAGACGAAGAATAATCTATAGAAGATTACGAAAGGACCCTTTAGGAAATCACAGATTAAACAAGCAGTCACAAATTAGACCTCCAATCTCTAGTACTCCACTAATGAGCATTCCACTTACAAATATGGATGGAGATATTACTGGAGTATTTAACTCTCTTACCCATTTGGATGGTCAAGAATCTAATTACAATATTTTGCCAGGTAAGCAGGGAAAAGTGACTTTTTATATTTCTAAATCATCCATGTAAAAGAGAAAACTATTCCAAATATATGAATTCTTCTCACTTAAGTTCATGTATCATATATGATTTTCATCCACTGTAGAGAAATACCAGAAGTCTAGTAGTGGATTCAATGCTCTTCATCTAAATACATGTTCCTTAGAAAAAGATTTTACTTATTATTATTTGTTCTATTTCCTCCAAATTCATACTGTGTTGATTCACAATATGAGATCTCAATAACCTAAAACTTAAAACATACACAAGCATGATTAAATCAAAAATACTTAGGGAAATTAAAATGCTAATGTGTAGACCAAACATTTTTCTATTACCAGGTCAGGTCAAAATGTACAGCTACATGACAACGATTAAGGTAATGAGTCAATTAATACGATCTTTCAAATACTGTAAAACAAAGGAACATCAGCCTCAGGTGATTTTTTTTCCAAACCAGATAACAATGTACAAGTATTAGCACTGTAACAACTTTATTATCAGAGCACATGGAATTGGATGAATCAGTGAGTCAGCATTATTTAGATGTTGCAGGTTTAGAACTGAAATTGTCCTAGTGATTGAACAATTCTTGTAATTGACATTTTCACTCTCAATGGATGTGCAAACTGATTCTGTGAATGTATGTTCCAAAGTGTTCTCATTATTTTTAATGCACTGAAACCATCCTTTCAACTTTGTTCAACCCCATGCCACAGAAGAGATGGAAAGCATTTTTATTTCTATCAATTTCAGCTGACCTGAATCAAGGCACCAGAAATAGACTATTGTAAAAGAAATTCATACCTGAGAATTCAGAATGAGAAATTCAGAGAGTTAAGATATTAGTGATGTTTTCAGTTGAAAAGCATTTACAGACTTATACATTATAGAGCTCAGAACACAAACAGTATCTCTACTACTTCCTATGATGAAATACGTTAAATCCATAATATGTTAAGTCTCTCTATGCTAATATGATACATTTCGTAAGCTAAGTCCAACGTTACATTAGCAGATACCTCAATTGTGGTTCTTAAAATGAGAGTTTTCTCAGTGCAGCCCATTATACCTTGCAAAACTCTTCTGGAAAGTTCCATAGCCCTCTGAAACACATCTGAGTGATACTGGCACATGGGGAGAGAAAGATACATTTGATCTTCCAATGCTGTTCATTCTATCAGTACAGATACACAATTAGATGAAACTCTATATCTAATTCTCTAATGTATTCAAAACTAAAATGTTTGGGGCAGCAACAATTGGCTTAGCCATGTACCCTGAAAACATGGCATAGACATATTTGGAATAAATCAGTATAGTTTCATTAATACAATATATAAACTGTAAGTAGAGGTGAAAGCAGGGCTTCTACTGATTTCATTGTAATAAACATTCACACTGTAATATGCAGCAGCAATCTTTTGAACATGTTGCTATTGAACATCTAAGTCCAAACATTTAAATACCAACTCATGTAATATAATTGTATTATAAATTGATAAGGACTTACTAATGGAAGTAGAGATGCCTGTGATTTATCTAGTTCTGATCACACCAGAAATGAAATAATATCATAGTCAGCCTGGCTGAGAAAACTTTTTATGGCAAATAGTTATTTTAGAAAACAGTATATATCAGAAACTAGACTATCTATAAACCTGGCACATATATTTTCCAAATCAATTATTCCTCTGTTTCAGGGTGAACACAATAAATTCAATAAATAATCTCAAAGTGAAATTACATAGAAAAGGCAGGTAATAAAGTAATTTTTATAAAAGGCTAATTAGAATACCAAGAAGTATTATTATAGTTCATTTTTAATAGTCTGTCTAAAGCTGTTCATTTGTAAGCATTTTTTTTCACATTAAAGGAAATATGCTGGTATATATACCATGCCTTCTGTATGAAGTATTTTAGATCTCCCTCTCAGGAATCATCAACCATAATGAAGCAATATGTAGTTTCCTCATTTTCCCCTTGATTCTTTTCTTTTTATCTGGAATTTTACCCAAAGGTTGAACTAAAACCACTAAACTCAAATTAGTTGGAGCCCAGTATTGAAACTGCACCATATTTCTGAAGCTGAAAGCAATGAGGTATCTGCCAAGGATTTCAACCACAAGGTATTTTTTAGTCTAGTATTTAGAATAATTGCAAGCAAAGATCACATTTGGAAAAGAGCCTACTTATCTCTAGCTTTACAGTCAATCAAATGTTCAGTTAGGATGGCCATATATTTTAGAAGCTGTTTTACAAGATTTTTATATCTTCATTTTCTAAATTATGTTCCAAGTATCATATGATATATATTGATATATGTAGTGAGCATATGACAAGTAAGTCATTCAGTCACTGAATGACTGAAAGATATCAAGTTGTATAATCACCTTTTTTAAACTTGTGATGAGAATTCTTTGAAGTGAGTTTGAATCTGGGTCTCTGCAGATCTAATCTGGCAATCTAATTGTTACATCATCAACATCTCATGTGGAATAATATTCTGTTGCATCACCACTGTCTGACATTGAATTAAATAATAAGTAAGCACTTACACCAACATTTAGAGTAAATTTTATAGTTATCATTATTTTTAAATTTAGATTTACATTTTAAAAACTGCTTTTGGCTTCCATTTCTCAGGAAAAGAAGGACGGTGCTTTGCAAATGGAATGATTATGTTTGATAAAGCTGTGTGGTCTCCTAAACCCTGCGTTACATGCCTCTGCTCAAAAGGAAAGGTGTTCTGTGATGAAACTTCATGCAATCCTGTGACATGTCACAAACCTATGATACCCGAAGGGGAATGTTGCCCTGCGTGTATGGAGAGTGGTACAGTATATTAATCTTTTATATACATTAAGTGTCATAGGCACATGACATACATTTTGGTGTATATTAATTTCTTACATACATCAAACAGTATGGACACAAGCACATTTCAGCATATGCCTTCAATTATAGGCAAATGCTACAAGGCAATGAAAAGGGAAATAATTCAATAACCCTTGAAACATTATTTCCCAACTTACCTTCTAAGTTCACATCTAGCAGCCATTAAATAAAAGGCACAAAAATTGACATATTTTTACACAATTACATTTGAAAGCTGTAGCACTTAATTATATCTTACAATTCTGGGATAAGAAGTTCATTATGTAATTGCTAGCACTACCCACGACAAGGACAATCAGCTGCAATCTTGATAGTCCCTTGCTCTTAAGAGTACGGTATTCACTGAATTACATTACTCAGAATATAACTGGAAAGGTGTGTTTAGATATTATCTAAACTTTTGGAAAATATTATTTCTTATTCACAACTTTGTTTACTAGCTGCTATTGTTGTTATGGAACACATGCTTTATACTGAGTTCAGAACAAAATAGACTGACTCAAAAAGTCTATTGGAACATTACAAGTTGGTTGAATTCCCAGAGGAAATTTTTTTTGAAACTATTTTAGTAATGGGAAACAATGGAGACTTGTGACAAACTCTATACTCCCTTGCTTTTTACCAGGACACACAGGTAAGTGGAGTTGCTGTCCATGCTAACAGCTACTCGAGGGCATATTCTGTGTGTGTGTGTGTGCGTACAGAGATTAAGGAAGGTGATCTTGACAGAAATATGCAAGAACCATCACCTGGCAGAAGGGGCTAAAACATTTTTTAAGTCCTGAGAAATGAGATAGTATTTTGAAGTGGCTCAGACAGACGCCCGCTCGATTAACTGCAGTATAAGAAGAGCACAACACAGTCAGAGCTGCCAGATTCTGTTCTTATAGCCCATCTTAATAAGGGTAGTTTTAGCTCTCCTGGGGAGTTGATTTCCTTGTCTGGTCTACTTAGTGGCGGGGAAGGGGAGGAGGGAAGGAGGGGCTTTGATTGCACAGTTGTGCTTGCCATCTTGATATTTTTAACTTCACCCGTTGACGCCTCTGCAATGACTAGTCTGTTATATGTTTTTGAAAATATTAAAATATCTGTGTAAGATAAAATTGAAGCAGCAATTGAATTTGTTTTCAGAAAAGGCCCACACAGGTTTTCAAGGAAAAGAGTCTTTCAGTTCCTTAAATTAACTTTTATCAGACATATAGCCAACATAGTAACACAGGGCAAAAAGAACTAATCTTTCTTATTAACATCCTTTCAGTTATTGCATACTTATCAGCTAGCACAACTTAGTAGCAGCAGGATACACTAATGCTGTTCCTGTAAAACAACATAAGAAGCAGCCCAATCAGTCAGACTACTTGCTATTTTCTACTATTTTCAACAAGTAACTAAATTCAGTTTGCACCCTTATTGTAATGCCTATAACTCTTGCATTAATAAGTATAGTTTTATGGTACAGCAACACACCAAATCAAACATGGCATGTAAAACTTTCTGAAAAGCTCACATGACAAAGCACGCAATCACATACATTCAGATCTGAATCAATAAAATTCAGCACAGGACAGGAGAAAAGAAAGCAGAGCTGACTTACTGCTAATCCTAAAGCAAGTCTTTAATCTTGCCATTTTGGAAACTTTACAATAGGCACAAAACCATACACAGATTCAGTCTAATCCGAGCCTTAATTAAAGCTGAAACTGGCAGAGCCTTGATGTTTTCAAATGTAGCCTGAAGCTCAGAACTAACAGCTCAACAAACTAATCACAACAACACTGTACTAGTATCTTTGCATTAGCATGACTTTAACAGTTTTGGTAAAAGTTGTTTTATGAAGCACAATAATGCACATACTCACATATCTTTGCATTGTCTGTCTGCAAAATAATGTACACGCAGGGTATCCTCTCACATGAACTCTAACATCCATAGCAAATAATTTTATAAAAACATCAGTAATTTACCAGCCATGCCTCTGCTGTGAGTAGCCTTCTTGTTCAGCCAGGTGTTTTACAGCTGCTTTCCTCTAAATAATCTACTCCCCTATCACTCCACCCAATCAAACTGATAGCAGCACGGACATAACTTAACTGGCTGATTTTTTTTTTAAAAAAGCAACCCAATGACAAAGCATTCAGAACAGTCAGAATGTTTGAAGCAACACTGTTTGAAAGTTTTATTTAATGTGCTTTGTTTCAACTTTTAAATACAACTAGTGAAATAGACATGTTGTAGAAAACTCTTATTAGCAGTTTTTGAGTCAGAATACTTTGAAATCAATGTGTTTTGCACATCTATATTATATCTTAACATGTTACACCTGTTTAAAAAACAAACAAACTTAAAAATCTGGAATTTTTACGAGAATTTTTATTAGAATCCAATCCATAAATTTTCTTTGTGTGAAATATATTTGAACAAGGAAAATAATTAAATAATGCTTATAGGACTAACAAATTAGGACTTTAATATTTAATTGAGTTTAAATAGAATCACTGGTTCACATATTCTCTCTTCTCTCTCTCTCAACATAAATATAGATATAAGTACATTCAATAAAATAGGTTTATTGGATGTACCCATAAAACCACAGAAAACAAATTAGTTCAATTAAACTTCTAAAATTTCTGATCTTGTATACAATATTGTTTGTATGCAATATTGATTTGGATAAATTTTCAGCAATGATAACAATAGGCATAACCTCAGATACATCTTTATTGACACTTACTATAAAAATGGCATTACTGTCCTGTGTTAAATGAGCATTAACTCTTCTTTTTGGTTTTTTTATATTCAGTACCAAGTACAATTTCTCAAGGTGACATAGCTGAAGTTTCTGGTGATTCTCCTGGGCCAAATGATCCCAGTGAACCAGTCTTGCATGATATACAGACTCAGGATCCAATGCAAAAGACAGGGGAAATACTTGAAAAACATGTTCATATAAAAAATAAAGCAAAAAGGAAAAAGAAGAGAATAAAAAGCCACAAACCAAGGAGAAGACATGAGCATATCAATGATCAAATGGAACAAGAGGAAACCAGATCAGAGGAAGAAAAAAGAAGAGCTTATGAAGAAGAAGAGCTAAGAATTGAAAAAGAAATGAAAAAAAGAGAGCAAGAACAAGAGCCAGAGCCAGAGCCAGAGCCAGAGCCAGAGCCAGAGCCAGAGCCAGAGCCAGAGCCAGAACAACAACAAGAAGAAAATGAACAAGAGAAGGAAGAAAGTGAAGAGGAGGAAGATGTATTGCGTGGAGATGTATTCAGAGTGCCCCCGCATTTCCCAATTCCTGAGCCTTCTCCTGAAATTCCTCCTTTACCAACCGGATGCTCTATTTTGGAAAATACAGTAAGCTGCATTAACACCAAACTCAAACATATACCGATAATCATGGATGAAGAGCTTACAAGCATAGAGCTTGAAGGTAAGGATTTTTTTTTAATGCATTGAATGTATTTTAAAACCACTCTTCATCCAAATGAAACCCAGAACTGTGTTCAAAGGCATTGATATAATTAACCATGACAATATAAACACAGTAAGTGGAGCATCAAGGACAGAATAAATAAGAAGCAACTAGAATTCTACAGGCAGAGGCATAATTATTATTTTAAAACAGGTTATCTTTTGAAGAGAGTTGAAAAGACTTCTCCTTTGTATGTAGCATATTACTGTAAAGGCAAGCATTGGGGAAGATCTTGAGAAATTAACCTATTCATTCTCCAGATTTCAAATGTTGCACCTGATAAAACAGTCATGCTTTTTGTAGCTGCATTTTCCTACTCTGAAAACTGGGAAAGAGAAAGAGAAGGGATCAGTTTTATTTCCTGTAGTGTTATATTAAATTTTTAATTTTGTTTGCTGTTTAACGAAGAGGCAATATAAATCCTCACTAAAAAAATTCCCAATATAAAAAAATTATCACTGCCTTTCCTTGCGTTAGGCTTCTTGAACTGTGAATTTAACTAAATCTATTTAAAAAGGAAATGGTCAACAATTAGAGATAAAATTCTTAACTTTTCTGTTACTAATTTGTATCTTTCTTTTCCCCAGGGAATGACATCACTGAAATTCCAGATGCAGCTTTCAACGGGATGCCTAATTTGGAGATAATTGATCTTCGAAAAAACAAAATCACATCATCTGGCATTGGTCCACAGGCATTTAAAGTAAGAAAAATCTACACACACACACTAAGTAACAATACAAAGACTTTGTGCCTAAGGTAGGACTAGAATTCACAGTCTCCTGGTTGCTAGCCTGGTGTCTTAACAACAGTACCAAACTGGCTCTAATTTACATTAGTTAAAAACAGTAAGAACATCAAAATGTCCCTGTACTTTAAATGGTGTACTACTGCCTTTTTGCTTATTATGGATTGAATAATCTTTGATTCATCAAGCTTTTTCACTTTAGAATTTTTTAGTCATAAAATCCCATATAATTTTCCTGAAGCCTTTTGAAATTATTTTTCATAATCTTTAAGGTATATATCGGATTACACATTTTTGCTTTCTTTGCTATCATGAATTCAAGAGGAGATAGCCACTTTCACTTCAACGTTCTGGCCACCTGCACTTTATCAGCCAGTTCTTTCTGTTGGTCAAGATTAAATCTAGAGAGGAAATCTCCTTGTTCTTTATTCTACTTTCTGACATAGGAATTTGTCAGCATTGCAGAATATGCCCCAGCTCAAAATAATGGTTGCTCCATTTTTAACAGAGTTAGACCTCCAACTGATGTCAGGATAGTACTGTTCTATGTATTGGATACATCATCCCTATCCACCAAATTGTTTCCTCCACGGTGCAGAATAGAAGGATAACCTGGTGTCCTACTTTCCATCTCTATTCTGCTACTGTTATGTACATAAAAGTGTTAAAGCTGGAATAGCCAAAGGTCACTCCTTTTGGAGTTTTCCATGCTAATTAGCCACAGTATTGTTTCTAGTGGGTCTGGGAACCCTATAGATATAGATATATGGAGAGGTAAAGTAAAATGGTTGCCTGTTGTTCATGTCTCTGTCTCTCTGCTTTTGCCTGCCTTTTGTCAATTAACTTTCTTGATGTTTGCTGATGCTTAATAAATAAACATCAAGCTATACTGTTGGCTACTTGTATTGAGTAGCATGTGTGCTTGCTCTAATCTGGCTATAGGAAATGATTGGGAGTGTGCTGAGTGCAAACTACACTGGAAATTACTTCCAGTAATTTTCCAACAAAAGTAGTATGGGTGTAGCAGGGAGTTATAGCTAAACCTCAGCACCAAGAGCACCCCAGTCATAAAACATCCCAATTTATTTCCAGGTGCTTGGTCAAGCATCCAGCTGAACCAGCATTCAGAGGCTACATATTGTGGGTATTTATTAGGACTTAAAATATCCTAATAGAAGAGTATTTTTTCACGCCTTCAAAGCTATCATAAAGTTTTTGGAAATGGCAGTGACATTGGAATCAGACCATCTCATGCTTGAAGATGGGAAAAAAATACACTCCTGGAACATGAAGATGGAAGTGCTATTTGAAAAGCTGGACCTCTTTGGAGATATCATGTCCAGAAAAAGCCCAAGCCAGAACTTGGATAAAAACAGATTGATTGCTTAAGTCTGAAATCATACTGAGGTTGAATGTGACCACCTGTAAGTTGATTCAAAAGTGTGCTTCAGAAAAGGAGATCCATGACAAACCAAGAGAGACGTATACTCAGGAATGAGCAATAATACTTCAGTGTTCAGGAAACTTGTAAATCTGAAATGATCAGGAAATGGAAGTTGAATGGAACATGTGTCAGAATATCTCTGTATTTAGAAGACACTGATGTGAACCTTTCATACATTTTAATCAAGGAACTGTTATTGATATCATTACTAAAAAATTATATAGTATTGTTAATCAAACTTCATGATAAATTTCCTCTGGGAATGTAATTGTCAAACTGGAGGCATACCAGTATGATCTGAATGATGCAACTGAAAGGAATTCTCTAAACAAGATAAAAGGGAGAAATGTAGTCTGTCATTACTGTAATAGAAAGGGACATATTCAAAGAGAATGCAGACTTCACAGAACTAAGACCCAGACAGCAGAAGGATAATGAAATCAAATATCTTAAATGAAAAGTCAAGCTTGCACAGGGATTGCAGAAATAACAAAGTACAAAGAAAGAGTATTTATGTTAGCAAATAAAGGCTTTCTTGAAACTGGACAGGATTCCAAATTTGAAAAGAAAACTGTTTTGCTGGATAGTCAATATATCTGCAACAAAGATGTGTTTATAAACCGTGAAAAATCTTATCAAGGAAAAGTTAATTTAGCAAATAGAATGCTGATGAATGTATGTGGAAAAACAATATTAAAATGAAATGCCTAATAAATTATAATGAAAACAGGAATTTATTTCAAGAAGCATATAATGTATCTGATGTAATTTGGATGTAAATTACATAAATCTGTGTTATTTTATGCATTGTAGTTGTAAAATTGTGCTTAAAAATGGACTTTGTACTGTTACAAAGGGACACTAAGTAATGTTAATGGGAAAGCACAATGAAGCTAATTTGCTGCTAATGTGTGCAACCTAAAGCAAAAAAAGTAGCAGGATGCATGCATAACGATAATCTTGCAAAATGACAGAGATTTGATATGAGTGTGTTATTAAGAAAATAAAGAATGATGATTTAGCAATTCAGCTGAATGTTTGTCCTTGCGAGAAGCAAAGGGAATCACAATGTGACTACTATATAAAGGCAAAGAGAAAAAGGAACAATTTTGCCGTGCTTGAATTCAAACAGCCAGCCAGTGATCAGAAATTATTTTTTCAGACATTTATGGTCCATGCTAATCAGAACAAAGGGCGGGAAAAACTATTTTATAACATTCATAGACTATTACTCAAAATATATCTGCATCTAATTTTTAATCAGAAAGCAAAGCATAGTCTAAAAAACTAAATATTGCAAAACATGAGCTTTAAACAGGGAATCCTGAGCCATGCTTATAGACAAGAGTTAAAAATGGAAGACACACATACATTCTTCTGTTATGATTATTTAATTGTAGGAGTAGAGAACAAAAGAGACAGCTTGGAGATAGTGAACAATTTAAAAAAAGAAGTGGAAGCAAAACATTTTGCAGATATTAGGCTCTGTCCTGGAACCGAAATATAAAACAACAAAAGTAGAAGGTAGTTGATCAACCAAAAACAAAAAATAGTATATCTAACAAAGTTTATAGGTCTCAGTGAGGCAAAAGACTCAAGTACACCAATGGAAGTTGGAGACCTGAATGAAGGAGGAAACCAGAATGAGTTGGCAAGTAATAAGCAGTACAGGACAGCTGTGAGAAAGCCTACCTTGCATCTGTGAGGAGATCTGTTACAGCCAAAGAAACTGGATTGCTATCTAGAAAGGTCAACAAGCCAACACAGAGGACTGGACATCAGTAAAAAAGATTAGGCAGACACTTAACAGGAATGATGGACTTTAAAACTGTCTGTAAGTAACTATCCAAAACTTATTGGATATACAGATTAGAACTGAGCAGGAGATAAACTGACAGGAAATCAACTACAGGATACATATTTTTTACTGGAGGTGCATTATTTACCTGCTGCAGCATGAAACAAAGGATAGCAGCCCTAACATCGGCAGAAGCTGAATCCTGTGCTGTGGAAAAAACATGCAGGGAACATATGTGGCTGCACAAATGATTGCTAGACTTCAAAATAAAAGAACCAATCCCAACCACGTTATTTGAGGACAGCATGAGAAATGCAGACACAAAGCAGTCTAAACCTGAAAAGAAATACATGGATGTTGAACTGCACTATGTGAAGGACGTGCAAAAAAAGGGGCAGATAAAACTGAAGAATTGCCCGACTGATGAAATGATGGCAGCTGTGCTTACCAAGGACCTGCCCAGAGCCTGCTTCCTCAGGCTGGGAGAAGTGCTGGGACTCAATACATGAAACAACGCATCTGGTAGAGTTCAGTGCACAGAGCTGATGCAGAAGGGAATGCTGGCTACATCATACCTCTGCACCAGACTCTTTCCTTCCTGGTGCAGAACAGAGGACGGATCACTTGGGGTGCTGCTTCCCATCGTTATTCTGTCCTTGTTAGGTACGCAAAAGGTTGAAGCTGGAATAACCAAAGGCCACTCCCTTTGGGTCTGTCCATGCTAAGCACACCCAATATTGTTTCCAGTGGCTCTGGAAAGTTGATACAGAGATAGAGATAGAGATGGAGATAACGTGAATTGTCACCTGCTGTTCATGTCTCTCCCTGCTATTGTCTGTCTTTTGTCTGTTTTTTGCCAGTTATTTTTCTTAATGTTTGCTGATGTCTAATAAATAAATATCAAGCTATGGCTTTTGCTAGCTGTACTGAGTACTGAGTGTGCTTGCTCTGGTTTGGGTATAGAGATTGCTTGGGGGTGTGCTGGGTGCAAATTAAACTGGAAATTACCCACAATAATTTTCCAATGAGAGCCAGTTTGGTGCAGTGGTTAAGGCACCAGGCTAGAAACCAGGAACCTGGGAACCTGTCTTGCCTTGGGCCCGAAGTCAGCTGGGTGATTTTGGGCCACTCACTCTCTTTCAGCCCTAGGAAGAAGGCAAGGGCAAACCACTTCCAAAAATGTTGTAGTGATTCAAAGGCACACATACACACAAGCATTCGTCCCTAACTTTCTGCTGAGTTTATTCCTTTCAAAACACATGAGAATGTACTTACCACCCAATATTTGGATTTCTTCCCAATTTCCCATATTCCATTATTTTAATAAATTTATTTTGCTGTGGTAGTTTTCCATGTTAATGTTGCATGATACTAATACCTTTTTAAAATATTTTTATTTTATTATACACATTTTCAAAACCATCTGTCTCAAAACTCCAGCCAGTGTTATACATCGTTAATTTCAGCATTTAAATTACTACGTTGCTGTGTTTTATTTCGGCATGTATTGGAGGTTCTTTGGCCACTGAATCTATTGTCTCCAGAGAGCTGCAGCAGCACCACACGCTGCCCATGTTCTTTGGACTATTAACTTAGCTAGTGTAGATTAATACAGCAGAGGTTTTCAAAATGAGTATTTTCTTTTAATACAGAACTTGAAGAATCTGCAACGTTTATATATGGATGGAAATGCACTCGTTCATATTCCAAATGCTTTACCATCAACTTTGGAAGAACTTAAAATAAATGAAAACGAAATACATGCAATTAATGAAGATAGCTTTCAAGGTATTTTAAAAAATATTAACTGAAATCATGACCATCATGAGAGCTTTTAACTTCACGGCAAGCAAAACTGAGATCATTGATTTTGTGGGAAACAACTTTTTTTTTCCCACTTAGGTTCTACAAATTAGAATTACTTCTAACACTCCTGTGACACACTGTTATGCTTAGGCCCAATCAAAAATTATAAGAGTGCTGCAAACTGAGAATCACAGTATATGAGTCAGACCTTCCACGTCGTGATAGACACCATGAAAGTCATTGTCAGGAAGCCTTTTTTCTATCAATACAATGAATTCCTAGGAGCAGTAGAGGGTGCATCACATTGACCCTTTTTAAACATGGGAATTGCACCTAAGTCTTATGCTACAGTGCTATAGACTTGTGTTCAAAGTGGGATTTCCCAATGTAGCTACCTCTGGCAACTACATACCTACAAGAGCCAGCTAACCCGTTACCCCAGTAATACCTATTACTGCCCCTCAAATATAGAGTCACTGCTTGAGGCCTCATTCAGTTATTATTGGATGACTTACGGTCTCCTACTCCCTAGATTTTCAGTGTTTTGGTAATTATGGTGATGACTTCACACTTCAGCTGCCAATTCTGTTGCCATATCCTGTTGATCACTGTTGTGTGGTGCATAAGGAATACAGCAGGAATTAAAACTAAATGGTGCAGTATGTAATTAAGAAAAGTGTTCTCCCATCTGTTAAATGACAGATCCTAGTTTCCTATAGAAGACCAGGTTCAGTAGCTTACTGTTTGTTATATATTAAAATTGTTTCTGATCAGTATTAGCAAATTTAATAAGACCTTATATCACATAGACTCAGGTTTAAATTTTGTATTGGAGAAAATTTGTTTTGGATATAACTATACATTTCCTCCTGACAATATTTGATTGATTGATTGATTGATTGATTATGTGCCATCAAGTCATTTTTGACCCCTAGCAACCACATACATAGATTTTCTCCATGTCAATATTTATCTCTCAATAATTCTGTTTTGCAAGTACTTTGAATGATGTTGTTGGGTCACAGCTGCAATTATCAACAGTTACTAGCATTATATTACTCGTACCCTTTGTAATTTTGAAGTTAGTTCTAGATTATATTTTTTACTACTTATTATGATCCAACACATTTCTCCCACATTTCAAAATTTTATTACATGTCATCCAATAGTCTCTTAAATGGGATCCATATTCACTTACTTGTCAGGTGATCTCAAATCATTCAGTGGGTCATATATATCTTATTTTTGACAATGTGACCTGGATAGCTGTGACAGAAATGTGTGTGTGTGTACACACCTTGGTTACATATTAGCCTAAAATACTACTCTTAGCTGAGGATGATACATAATACATTAACACTTTACTGAACTTAATTTAAACTTTTTTTTATTTCTAAAGGTTTAAAGAAGTTGCTGACTCTGGAATTAGAGAGCAACAAACTTAGTGAAGCAAATGTCAGCCCTTTAGCTTTTCAGCCTTTGAAGAGCTTGTCATATTTGCGCCTTGGGCGAAATCAGTTTAGGACTATTCCACAAGGTCTTCCCCATTCTATTGAGGTAAAATCATTTTAAAAATTTTAAATCATTCATTTCCTTTATTTTGTAATGTTTAAATCTCTGTTCAGGGGATAATTATAGATTAGTAATGATCAATTAAGTTCACAGACCATTTGGCATGTTAAGTGTAGCACACATTCAGGATAATGTTTCTTCCTCTTTCAATTATAACTTATATCTCTTTTGCAACTTTGTATAAAAATAGAGAACAGCATTTTGGTAGCTGGAATCAGTTTTAAATCATAAATAATAGATTTCAAAGAACTGTTTTAAGGTTTAATATACCAAAACATATGATTCCATATATTTATTTTTTCTACCATGTGTTTAAGTAGGAACTATACCTTGACAATAACCAGATTGAAGAAATTACAGAAATATGCTTTAATCATACCAAAAGCATGAACACAATTGTTCTAAGGTACAATAAATTAGAAGAAAGCAGAATAGCCCCATTGGCATGGATCAATCATGAGTAAGTACAAATTATACCTTTTCCTGTCAGCAATATTTACAGTAGCTAATATAAAAATAAAGAACATTAAAAATTGAACTGTGTAGAGGGCAAGTTTTCCACAACTGCATTGGAGTTCATGATTTTTTGGTTAGTAGTTTGTCTTCCACCTGTGGTATAGTATGAGAGAAGGGGAATACGGTTTTCTCACTTTGAGATAAGTTTTGGAACAGACAAGCAGAGAAAGATGCATCAGTGGGCAGGATGAAAATCACCTTCAGTGCCTGCTCCAGTTGATATATACCATAAGTAGCAGAGGGAGGTCCAAAGTATTTTTCATCATATTTCACTGGGTTTTAAAACAAAAATGACAGCAGCAAGTCTTTTCACTATTTTCCCTTTGTCATAATCTAATAAGATATGAAAGGTAAATGGTTTCGACCAGACATTTTCAAACAAGGAGTCTGTAGAGGGACCTTTTCCCCCTGAGAAATTGAAGAAAGGAACACCTCTGTGTATAACAGGACTTTAAGGAGGGGTTTGATTTTTGTTTCATATTGTACTAAGTTTTAGGGATGTGTGAAACTGACCATTACAGGAATGGAACATTCTGGAGAACTCCAATATGTTTCATTCCTTCTCTAGAGAATACCTACCTGGCAATTTCCCAGAAGTTAGAACATATATGGAACTTCATGAACCATTTCCAATTTGGAGGAATAACTTCCAGAAAATTGCCAAAACACCTCTGTAATAGCCAGATCAGTGTGGTCCAGAGGAGGATGGAACTTTCATGGGATTTTTGGAATAATGCCTGGAACAGTAGGTTTTGCACTTCCCTACTAAACTTCCTGTAAGTCTCTGTAACAGCCCTTGTCATCTGTAGAGCCCAGAACATTTATCTCTTCTTTGCTCTAGAATTAGCAGAAAACTTGGGTCAGAAACAGTTTCCAGAAAGAACACACAGAAACACCATGAAAAATAAAAATAAGAAAAGTTTTAAAAGGTTGTATGCATGAACAGTGAACTTATTGACAAGCTGAGAAACAAGCTGAGAATTGTATAAGAAATTGAAGTAGGGACTCATAACTAAGAAGGAGTAGAAATTGGAAGTGTTAGTTAGTGGGGATGGTGTCAGAAAAGCTAAAGCTCAGATTGCAATGAGACCAGTGAGGAATGCAAAATGTAAGGAAAATCATTGCTTGAACTATGTCCCTAGTAAAAGAAGAGACAAGGAGGCTTTTAGTTTATTGCACAAGGAGAGCTGCTTATCACTTTCTTTGCATCTGTCTTTTCTCAGAAGAAAGCTTCCTAATATGATTGAGGAAAGGGGGGAAAGCAACCATGGCTCAGGATGATAACTATATAGTTAATAACTACCAAAGTTATAGTTAATACCAACAGAACAAATTCAGATCTGCAGTTCCAAACAATTTACATCTCAGGTGTTGAAGAAGCTGGCAGAAGTGGTCTCAAAACTATTGACAGTAACCTTTGAAATGTTTTTTGAGAAGTGATAAGGTGCTGGAAGAGTAGAGCAAAGTAAACATAGTTCCAGTATTCAGAAAGAATAAGACCTGGGAAATATAGACCAGTTAGCTTATTGTCTGAACTGGTTTCTCTTCAGATCAAGTCTTATAAATGAAACCAATTTCTTTTTATGACATAGTGACTAGTAAGGTACATCAAGGGAATGTACCTTAATCTCAGTAAAACATTTAACAAAAACTCTCATGATATCTGTTTAGACAAGATAGATAAATGTGTACTACAAGGTACTGCAGTCCTCTGGATTTGCAACTGGTTGAACAGAAAACTACTGCACACTCTGGAGTCGGTTGTCCCATTCTGGAGAGTACACCATAAAGGGGGCATGGAGAATCTGGAACAGGTTTGAGAAGAGCTAAGGATAAGGAGCCTGAAAGCTAATACCTATTAGAAACAGTTAAAGAAACCATACATCTTTAGCCTGCAAAAGAGAATATTCAGGAGAAATACGATAATGATCTGTAAGTACCTAAAAAGGTGTCACTGCAAGAGAACAGACTTGTTCTCTGTTGATACTGAGGACAGGACAAGAAACAACAGGTTAACATTAAAAGAAAGGAGATTCAGGCTGTATATTATGAGGAATTTCCTGATGGCAAGAACTGTTAAGCAGTGGAATAGTCTACCTAGAAAAGTGATGAGTTCCTCTTATTGAAATTCTCCAAATGCCCTTGTCAAAGATGGTTTAAGGGACTGAAGCACTGAATGAAAACTCATAAGATTCCCCCCCCCCCCCGCCACAGCTCACACATTCTATATATCTGTGAACTAACAGGCAGTCAATATAGCATCCTGACAATTGTGTATCTATCATCAAAAAACCATAATCTTTTAAAAATGTAGAATTAAAATGCTATCCAAACCTGATTTTTGTTGGATTTTCCCAACTGAACATATTTGTTCAGTTTAATTAAAACAAAAGTAAGCATTTGAAGCACCTTCCTCCTAAATGACAAAAAAATGAACCCTCATCATTTGAATATTATCCTTTAGCTCAAACACTGAATCAGTATAATCAAGTTACATTATATTACTTCAGCAGAGTTGTCATGAAGTAACTGAAGGAGGAAAATTAAGAAGCCAGTTCTTAATAAATACTTCCATGATTCTTTTTTTTTTTCCCCCTTACGTAGCTCTGAATCTGCTAGTCCCTGAATACTGGCAATTGTTAGAAATAATTTTACAACAATGATGGGAAAAGAGTAGGTGGTACAAAAAGTTCTCTTTAGGGAGTTGAGAGGTTTATTAAAAACAAATGGCTGGCATTTCTCTTTTTGCAGTCCTACCTCTGTATTAAATAGTGCAGAATCTGTTGCAGAACCGCAAAGTTCCAGATTTTTGAGGCATGAAATAATTACACTAGCACCATCATGAGATAGAGTCACTGTTCTTCCTTATTGTTTCATCACTGTAAGTAGGTCTTTTAGGCTAGAAAGCTGCATGCTAATTCTCTCTTTCTGGAAGGTGAAAAATGCAACAAAATGAAAAAAACCCTTCATTTTTGAATCTAGGTCTTGGGGAATCTCTAGAGCTAAGCCCTTCTGAATGTGCTGCCAGTTTACATCCTTTGAAATACTGTGGGTCACTAGTCTCTTTCTCTGCGAAGAGTACATACAGGGTTTTCAGTAGTGTCCAAACAATTTTCCTGCTAAACAGATATTATCCTTTCCTTTGGGTAAACTAAAAGGCAGAGGAAGGTTCAAGCATACTCCCACTTTTTACATAAATCTTAATCTGAAAGTTCATTGATCGTTGTCCAGGGCCTACTGCCTAGATAGCTATAACTGTCCTAAAGTTCTACTGACTTCGTAACTGGCTAATAGCCTTCAACAATAAGAAAGCTGGGTGGAACAGTGGTGGACAAACATCTGCTGTAAGCATTTGCATCATAAAAATATCTCTCAAATCATTTTTAGTTATTGTGGTTACACATTTAACTAAGCAAACTTGTTCAACAAACAAGAAACAGATCATAGTCAACCCTGGTTCTTGTATGACAATGAACCATAAATGTAGCTTTTGTTTCTTGACTTAGTAGAATGTGAAATCTCCCACTTGGCTTACTACCATGTATGACCCAGGCCACAGTGGCTTGTGGAACAAAACATGGTGTCAAAAATTTCTGGTTTGATATTATACATTAGCCAGACCTTAATCCTGCAGAATAATTATACTGTTTGCTTGCTTTCTTTTAAAAAAACTGTTCCTTCCTTAAATTTCTGTGAATTTATTAGAGACTTGGGTAGATAAAAAACAAAACAAAACAGAAATAACCAGAAAACAACAGACAAACCATATCTCTTCATTCAGACAACATACTAAGCTACAGCTGCAGTCAGTAAGTCAGGAAAACCCATCTCCACATTCTACTATGACAAAAAACCACATTATGCCCTAGAGCAGTATTATGTGAATCAGCAACATGAACTCAGCCACGCAGTTTGAACAGATGAGACTGCATGCTTCAATACGCCTAACCTTTTGCTTTAGAATGTCTGTTATCTTGCTCTTTTAACTTTTGTGTACTTTTGTCTTTATGTAGGAACTTGGAATCTATTGATCTTTCTTACAATAAGTTGTATCAGGTTCCCTCCTACTTGCCAAAGTCATTAGTACATCTTGTACTTATAGGGAACCAGATTGACAGAATTCCAGGATTTGTATTTGGACATATGAGACCAGGGCTGGAATATCTCTATCTTTCATTTAATAAACTTGATGATAATGGGATAGACCCTGTGTCATTCTATGGAGCATACCACTCTCTCAGAGAAATGTTTTTAGATCATAATCAGTTGAAGTCTGTGCCACGTGGAATTGCAGAAATGAAAACATTAAATTTTCTAAGGCTCAACAACAACAAGATCAGGTAATTAAGCATTTTTAGAAGTTAATTTTAAATACAGCAATTTGGGAAAGCATAAGATTAAATGTATTAATGTCTTGTTCTACATTTTCATAAAGTGTGTATCAATTTATAAAATTCTACTTTGATTCTTTGAACATGAAGAATTAGTTCTTGTTAATCCAATCAGATGATAGAGGAAAATGTTGGCAATCTTTTTAAAAATGGTGCAAAATCTCTTAGGACTTCAGCAACCTCAACTCCAAGTTCTCCCACAAGAATAGTTCTTGCATGTGATCTTATTATAGAACACCAAAATCCTTCAAGAGTTGGCAATCTTGCCAGATTTATCCCTTTCTTTAAAAAAATAAACATTCTGAATGCCAAATAATGGTGTCATATATACTCTAGTATCCATGTGTGTCATGTTACTACTCCCTGATATAGGTTGCATTGAAAAACGACTATATGGTAGGCACTAAGTTATTATTCAATAGGAAAACAGTTGACTATATCTAGGCTGAATATTGTATGTACTCTGAGGTGCTACCTGGCTCCTTAGTGGCCAGCTTAGAAGCTACTGATAATTTAGTTCTAGTGGGAAAATATTGTTACCAAAATACTCAGAAAAGAGTGCCAGATTTGTTTAAAGGTTTCCGATTTCCGTTCTTCCAGGAATAGACTGGGATGGAATTTGATTGCCAACAAAGACAATTTAATCATTTGAGCATGAAAAAAAATAAAAATGTCCAAATACACTGAAAATATCCCAGGACTACATTTAAAGATAGCACAGTTAAAAGGCCAAACATAGCCAAATCTGAATAAACACCACATGACACGATGTTCTACCACATAAAAAGCTAAAAGTGAGTTTATGAGTGAACTTGACTCCTGATTGCTACAAAGATACATATATATCCTACAGCAAATATTAAAAGCAACAGCTAAGTATGCTTTGTGCAGTATCTTCCTGCATCAACAGTCCTAAAACTGAACCCAGCGAAGGACTGCCAGTGGATTTATTTCACTATAGCTGATGGGAAACATAGCAGTAGCAAAAAAATATACAAGAAGTTTCCAAATATATCCTGTTATTCTCCAGACATAATGCTGACCTAGATGGGCCTTGGTTTAGCCTGGCTGGAAAGGTTCATCTTTGTATCCCATTATGAACAACATATTTACATGGTAGATTCTTCAATCTAACTTTTCCTTAACTCTCTAAAGCTTGACTAACATTTAATTCTTTATACATTTAATCATCAACATTTAATCAGTGAGAATGTACTGCTACTAGAGTAAGCATTTCTGCAATCATTATTGGGGGAATGGGTGGCTCCCTGGTATGGTGAAGGAAAACCTCCTCGCTGATCAGGTGTGAGACCGAATGACTGATTTGCCATTTTTTGAATCCTGTATAAGGCACAAGCCAACTAGCGCAGAGTAAAGCACACTTTCCTGTTAGCTTTTTTGGCTGTCCATTAAGGTTTCTATCTTGAAAATTATCTGGAAGGACAGATGAAATTTCCTAGCAAAATATAATAATTACCCTTGTTTCACTAATTCTGGTATGGTTTTACAGAACTGTCCCTCCAGAGCGAATCTGTAGATCCAGGTTAAATAATGAGGAGGAAAATGATGACAGTGACGAGGAAGAAGACTATGAAGATTCACAGTTAGAACATCTTCATCTTGAGCACAACTATATTAATACAAGGAACCTTTCACCCTATGCTTTTTCATGTGTAAGATCATATTCTAGTGTGATTCTGAAACCTCAGAAGATTAAATAAAATGTTTTGTAATACAAATGTATTTTATATGTAAATAATACAGTTCGAATATTTCTTCTTCACCAGCAATTAATATGTCATAAAAAGTATCTGAATACTACTATTTCTTAATAATAATAATAATAATAATAATAATAATAATAATAATAATAATAATATTTATGGCTAATGAAGAATGAGAGGTAAGAGTATGAATGTCTCCAAGAAACTGGTAGCATACTACAGGTAAGATGCTATATCCTAATATGCATATAAATATAAATGTTTTAACAAAGCACAATAAAGCTGGAATTTATTGAATTCCGAATTAACTTTAAACAGTTGATTTAATCAAGACAGTTCTCAGTACAATGGATTATAATATTTCACATCCTTCGAAAAGTGCAATTACATTTTTAAAAATTCCCAAAATATGTCAAAATTAAGATGTCATGGTAACAGAAAATATATGTCCTGTTAATATGAAGACTGTTCATCATACTACATTTAAGAAAAACCTGGCTTCTTTCCTACTATTGCAAAATGCAGTCATCCTAGCCATGCGACATCCCAGACATCATCCAAGAATTTTTAGGAAAAAAATTCTGTACTGCAGTCAATGTAATTATATGTTCTAATGCTTGAGAAATCCATTAAGCATCATCTGGAATCCTAAAACCACATACATTCTTTATTTGCTATATGATTATCGTTTCTCATTTGGACAGAATTTGTTGAAATGTGTGATTAAAAATACAGTACTAACATTTCAGCAACCATTAACCAAGAATAGTTTTATAAAAATTAAAAAATGAAAGTTGCACATACCCATCAGAATAAAAATGAATTAATTACTGAGACACTCATACCTGAAGACATGCCAATTATTGCAATAAATATGTGATTGTATTTGTCCTTATAAAAAAGGCTAGCCTAATATCTTTGGAAGCTAGATTGCCTGAAGGCAGGGTACAAATTGTCAGGAATGTTTTTACTATACTTTCTTCCAAGCGCAACTGCTCTTTACTATACCCAAAGTCTTTAGGGTTAATATGTCAGTTGTAGACAATTTCACAAGCTTGTTTACAGTAAAAACAAACAAAAACAGAAAAGCAGACTTAGTAACTGTACGATTTTAAAAAGTATGCAAAGTTTTAAAAATTCTGAATGAATACAGCTATTTTGAGGAAAAGGAAACAAATAGTCTGACCTCTGCTTCATAGAGCTCAGCACTGCCTCCAAAGTTTTAAGAAAGGTCTGAGCCTCTGGGGCTCCAGCTTTCCTAGAAATACTAAGATTGAACCTAGGGCTCTCTTTGTGCTAAGCATGTGACCTATTTCTGAACTATGGCCACTACCACTGTTCGATGCTTCCTGCTGATCATCTATTGCAATCTTAACTGGCTTTTATTACAAAGTGATTTAAGCCTATTTCTGTGCCTATTTCTTCTTTTTTTTCCGTTTTGCAACCATAGGTGATGTAACAGGTCTTTATGTCCAACAGTGGCTAGACCACTGTTATCAGATAACTGAAATGGCAGACACTGATGATGACACTGAAGGTGCTATAGATGGACAACTATCAGAATCTTGTGTTTTGAGGATGGAGCCACCTAGCAGAATAAGTCAATGCAGTTAGTGTACCAGCTATTTGTTTCATGTTACTAAGGAGATGTATTGATCAAAACAGGGCTATGAAAAGAATACCTGTCTTAGTTAACTTCATTTATTTATTTGTTTGTTCATATAAACCACTTCAATCATCCAAGCACCTCTAGGTGAATTTACATAAAATTACCTATATTTTAACTAAATTAGGTAATTGAATGTAATAACTCACCTAGAGTTGCTTGGATGCTATTAAATTAACTATGTTTTATTCAAAAATAACAATTCCAATAGTAACTTGAGAAGTCCATACAAAACCTATGTCCAGAGAAGATAGAGTCTTTAAGGGAAAAGATGCAGAGTGACATCATATACCTTATTTATTATCCTGAAAATCCTGCATGTTCTTTTCAGCATCTTCAAAGCAGGAGTGATTCTCATAATGGTGCTTACAAAACAGTTCTGCGTACTCACAACCAGCTAAATATGAAAGCAAAAGTAGTTTCTATCCATTTGAGGCCACAAGAGAAGTGATTACTAAATCATAACATGCATCACAATACCTAATTCTACAAAGATCCAAAATATCCTAAGCAGAATCCCTTTTTAAATGTGATAGTTATACTATACACATTTAAAAACTATACTATAGTTTTTTTCATGAATGTATAGATGAGATTAAAGAAAAATCTGCAAAAGTGGTTTTGAAAAAATGCTAGTGAACAAATACAGATTTTTTTAAAAAAAATCTATGTTTTATTTATTTTACTTACATTAAAAAATGATATCCTCTTTTTCTAATGCATACACATTACTCAGGTGGCTAGGGTTTTTTAAAATTTTAAAATAGTATATATTTTTATTGGCAGCACTATAAAGTGCCTGGTTATACATATGGGGTTATCCTTACAGATGGTTTGAAAAACAGAAAGCAGTGGGCATCAGTACAGTACATTCCATGACTGAAAGATCTAAGTTGAAAGATCTAATGATCTGGGGGCGGGGGGGGGGAGCAGACCCTGCACCTGCGGGAAAAACGCTAGGATGAAAAAAGAAAATAGGAACACAACATGAAAAGACAAAGACTAAGCACAGAGCTCAGAAACTGCACCTAGTGGCTCTGCTGGCTTCTATTTTGCATGTTTGCATATACAATTATAACCGATAATTCTCCATCCAAAATAAAAATACTGCAAATCTGGTAAAGGAAAAAATCATGTTCACTAAATTACAATGATAATTTTCATATCTCATAACCAGTTATTCAAATTCATAGGGAACAATTAGATGGGTTATTTTGTAAATATTATTACATTACATCATAAAGTCAATTATGAATACTTCTATTTTCATAAATAGAAATAGATCTTCTATTTTCAGTAAGAAAGCAAACACCCAAAATAGTATTATTTCTTTTTTAGAATCTGTAAGAATCTGGGGGTCAACTACCCCATGTAATTCTCAAGCTGATGGTTAAGTGGAGAGAATGAATGAAACTCTGAGAACCACATTAAAAAAGTATGCCAGCCAAGACCCAAAGCACTAGGATAAGCGGTTGCCCTATCTGATGTTTACATATACGTAGGTACCACAGGCATCAACAGGATTCAGTCATTTCTTTGTAGTGTAGTGTATGGTAGATGACCTTGAGGGATATTGGATGTACAGTAATTAAGGTAAGTTGGAGCAAAGAAGCAGATGCCCTAGGAATTTAGGGAACTGAAACAAGCCCTAAGTGTTCTTCTCTCTTGACTCTGCCTTTAAGGGAATTTGCCAGTACTCTTTGTGAGATCTAAGGTTGACATGTATTTGGCTCTACTTAATAGATTTACCAAATCATCTATATGAGGCATAGAGTAGCTATCCAATTATTTGCCTATGTCATATCAGCACAAAATCATATTTTACATTAGGTTTAGGAGCCAATAAAATAGGAGAACACCACTCACTATGATGGCTATAATTTCCAGTTTCAACATCTTATCTACCTCTCTCGTCAAGGTGGCTTTCAAACATTCTGGTACGCTATAGAGTCTTTTCCTAATGCGGAGAGATTCTTCTGTGTGAATAGACTCATGTCTATCCAGCGCTCAGTAAGATCAGTAGTACCAGGCCTTTAGTGAATACCTCTTGAAAGATTTTTAGAAACTCCTTTAAATCTTATTTCTGGAGTGGAATTAACTCAGGATTCACATGCACTTCTCTTTTTTCCTGTCTTCCCCTCTTATAATGTTCTAGGGGCTTTTTGGTTGGATTCTGTGAAATCACCAAGATAGAGTTGGGTTCTTGAACATACGATTTTCAAAAAATGTTCACATGTTATATTTTTGTGTTTCCCCCACCTAGAGTCAGTAGGAATTAGGTGGTAGCTAAATTTAAATAAATAAACAAGCAAGCAAGCTATTTGGTTTGCACAGAGCTTCTACTACCTTCCTGATAGAGGAAAGTGGTGTGAGGTTTACTTAGACAACATTGTTATTTACAGCCAAACGTGGGAAGATCATCTAAAGCATTTGAGAAAAGTGACAAGTCTCCAAAAGGCTGCCCAAGCAGTAAATCCAACAAAACAGGTTATAAAGAAATAAAATATTTAGGTTTTCTGATAGGGAATGAAGAGATAAAATTAAATAAAAGAAAATATTAGCTCTAAAAGAAGTCAAGGCTCCAAATACAAAGAAGGAAGTTAAATCTTTTTTTGGACTAGTGTGGTATTATAACTGGTTTATTCCCCATTTTCCATCCACACTCAAGCTTTGACAGATCTTACCCAGAAGGCGGAACAAACAATACTGCTGTTGGTTATATTATGTATATTATATTACATATTTTATTTGTTTTTATCTATTTTACTGTAAGCTGCCCAGAGTCACGTATGTGAGATGGGTGGCTATATAAATCAAATAAAAAAATAGAAAAATTGACACCAGAATGTCAATAAACCTTCAAGGACTTGAAAGAAGCTTTGTGTCAAGGCCTCATCCTAAAAGGGCCAGACTATGAAAAGGCTTCCATCATATAAATTATGCTTGAATTTGGTGCAGCCTTAATACAGATTTATGGGGATGGAGATAATCCAGTGGCATACATAGACAAGAAACTGTTCTCACAAGAAGCTAACTACACTACGATTGAAAAGGAAGTGTTGGCCTTGAAATGGGCCATAGATGTACTCAAAGTATATTTATGGGGCTGAGAGTTTACAGTTGTAATGGATGACCCAGCCGCTTGTCTAGATACAGTAGATGAAAAACAGTAATCCCTGAATTACAATTATAAGTCTTTACAAACCTACATGTTCACCATACAACAGAGAGCAGAGAAACAAAACATTCTTTCAGACTTTTTATCCTGTCAGGAACAGATACAGAAATCTCTAGTGAGCATGGTCTGACAAGAGTGTAAAGAAAGGATCTCATCTCTTAAAAGAAGGGAAGGATGTGGAGCCTCCCAGATTGAGCAGGCATTTCTCCTTCCCATCTGGAATCCAGAGTTTCAGTGCTGCCTAGGGAAGTGGGTTAAAATAGCCCCACCTTCTCCTTAATTGGAGAGAAAGCCCCTTAAATGGACCAGAAAGCCAGCATGTGTGTGGCTGTAGCAGAAGAGGACTTCAGACAGGAAGACTACAGAGAAGCAGGGAAAAGTCTCCAGTTCAAAGGCAAGTAACTCAGCAGCAGTCCCAGGAAGACAAAAGCCTTGGCACTGCAAGACCGGCTGAGACAGAGCCAAAAGATGGGGGGAAAGAGCCCAAATAGCGTCTGCAAAGAAGTGACTGAAGCAAGCCCATTGTATGCAGCAGCTCAAGCGCAGTGTTTTACAAACCAGCTCCCGGAAGAGAAGATTGTGAGTGTTGGGGAGGAGAGAAAAGCCCCATATGCAAGTCAACAGAGAAGGTGTGAAAAGGACTTTCTAATGTACATGGACTGAGTTTGGCTACAAGAGCTGAAGACTTGGGGAAATAAATACTCAAAGAGCTAGGAAATAATTTTAAAGGAAAATATAGAGCAAAATAACACAGGCATGGAGATAGAAGTAGTTATAAACTTATAGTAATGGGACGCTAGATTAAGATAGGTAATAAAAAATTAAGTAGGAAATAGGCATAAACATAGAACTTCTGTCTCTGTGTATGTGTGTGAGAGAGATTGAGATTGGTTGTCTAATATTTAGTACATGAGAATCAATGTGAGGCAACCTTCTCTAAGAGTATGGGAAAGTGGCAATAGAAGAAATGTTTTCTCATTAGGAAGCTATGCAACTCAATTATTTTTTTGAGGCATTGTAAATGCCCTCATTTACAAGAATGACATGAAAGTTTTCAACAAGTTAAGAGAAATATCTTCTATACACTGTATTGAAAGGTTCAACTTTCCCAGAAGACATTAACAATTATTTATTGAAGCAGTATGCCATCATAAGATCTTATAAGGGTCAGAACATTCCATGTGAAATTACATCAAATTTTCCCTATGCTTGTTACAAAACTAAAAATTATAGCTCAGGGACTATAAAGATGATAGATTATTCCCAAGGATACGTTTCTCTGCAAAATGTAGTCAGGATATTTGTAGAGCTGTAGTACACCTTTGCAAGCAATGTGGGCTATGCCGTTTTCATTACTATATAAATCCAGTTGAGGCTTTTGATGGCTTTTAAAAAATATTACACATTGTGGGCTTCTTGGAAACAACCGACTGGCTGCTGTCAGAAATTGGATATTGAACTAGATGGCATTTGGCCTGATACAACATAATTTTTAAAAACTGTTTAATTCACAGAAAGCACTCCTTTTAATCTGCCAACTAATACTTTGCATTAAGAGGCAGTATATCTAATTATCAAAGACCACTGACTGAAGCAGAATACTGAAGAAAAGCACCCTTTGTGTTATACAGCAAGGCAATCCCAATTACTTATGTAAGTATTGGTTACTGGGGCTGCATGGACCTGAAGTACAGAGAAGACTGGCTAATTACAGCCTCAAAGAGGTTTGAGTTGGAGTCAAAGAGGCTTGGTTTTATTTTCCTTTTTAAAAAAACAGAACAAAACAATATAGGGTTGCTGAATAATGGCCTGAACTGTGTATCAGACAAACTCTGTACAAATGATAAGGATAGAAGTGAATATGTATGCGCCATTTTGATCTACAGTTTCATTACCCATGGTTTTGTGCATCTGTAGTTGCTATACGCAGACCACACCTTGTTATTCATGGGAAAGGGGGCTGCATATCCACAATTCATTTTCTGGCGTGTGGTTTCATTGGCAGACTTTTGGAGTGTTCTGCATTTTACACACCACAAAATGGGACATAGGCTTTTGCACTTGTGTAACTTGTTCAAGCTCTCATTATTTGTGGATATGTTATTTTCAGTTGTTAACCTGGAACAGAACGCCTATCAATAACAAGAGCTACCTGTATGTATTTACAAATGGCATTACAAATAGTGAAAGATCAAAAATAACCACAGAGCTGAAATTAATTCTCCATAACCACGCAACATAACAATGTCCTACTGAGTAAAAGAAGCTAGACTGAACTAAAGCCAAAGCAAATTGCTAAAAGACTATGTCATGTATTAAAGCATTTGGCCTATTTCCCAAAACAGAAGTTTGGGGCTTTCAAGTTATAATACAGTCACAAACAATTGAAAAAATGTTTTGTACAGTGTTCATACAGAAGCATGCCTTAATAAATGGAATGCTAATATAACTTGAGTGTTTAAAGAAAAAGAATGAAAAAAAAATTCTCAAGAGTCTCTTGACTATACATTGGTATTTTTATACAAAGACAGGTTGACTATTTATGAAGCCAGGACTGAGCACTGGGTCTGCAGGCTGTTTCTTGTCACCTTACAGGCCAGTTTTGACATACAGATCTTTTTCACTAGAGATCCCTGAAAAAAGAGTTCTTTCCTTTAATTAATCAGTTTGATAAGCCAAGACAGGTATACTTAATACTTCTTCCCAAATTTATGAATCAAATATTTTAAAGTGGTGTTGATCTTCTAACATTGTTAGAAAAATTACATTTAGCTTAAATTACGTACAATTAGAATCAAAATTCTTGTACCTGCCCCAATGATAAGCTGGTTAGTACTTATAAAGGAGACAATGAGGAATACCAGAGCTGCAATTTAGATTAAGAAGCTGAAAAGGCATCTTGAAAGAAGATAATGCCAACTAATTTCCATATTCTTGCCAAGAAACTTCACAAGAGTACAAGTACCAAGAAAATTACCAGGAGCTGAGCTTGACTTGAAGGAGAAATTAATTTACCATTATAGAAGCAAACATGGATTTTAATGTAGTGTTCCTTCTTCATAAGTCTGTTGTACCCTGCTTCATCTGTGAAATTTAAAAATCTGCACCAAAATTATTTAAAAACACATTTTTAGGAATTTCCTCTCAATTTACCTATTTTTGAATGGATTTTGCCCCAAGTACAAATTTTTAATGCATTCTAAGATACGTATTTTAATTTTTTGGTACCTTATTTAATCTAAGAATTACACTGCAAAATCTGGAGTAAGAAATCTGAAGGATAACTGTCTTTTGATCTGCAGTTACTCCAAAAATCAAGTTCGTTATTCTATTATGCAGACAGACCAACATCCCTGAACAACCCTACCTGGAATAAAATGTTTCAGTGTATCTTCTTCAGGGCATGAACATCTACAACACAGACAAGAACCAACCACTGCTCTTCTTTGCCTATCTCTGCATTTTCCTTTGCCCTTGCTCTCGATGCTCTGGAAAGCCCAGAACATGCTCATGACTTTAAAGACAATACCAATGGCAATTATGTCACAAACTTTTTTTGCCATGAGGTGAGGGTTTACTACTCTGAAAGAACACCCCCAAAGCATTAACTGACTAGTTCATGAGATTTAAGACTGTATGTTTTTAATTACACTGATGGCACAGTTAAGATAATCAGGATAAAGGAATCACGTTATGTCTTTTCAAGTAAAAAAGTTAATGTGGATATCCTAACTTCTTTTGTGTTGTCTGAAAATGTAACGTGATGGTCCTACCATTCATATGCAAAGGATCGTATTTAGTTGATGTATTTTTGGAAAGGCATTTCTGAAAAATTGTTACGCAACCCAATGGGCATTCTTTCCCTGTTTGACAACCACAATCTCCTTAGCAGAGTTTTTAAAATAAATGTTTATTTTTTTTCTGTTACTATACAAACCTCTCTATCCTGTCTTTCTAATACATATGCATCACTCATAGCCGGTTTATTGAAATATTTCCAGACACACCTCATAAAGAAAAAACAAAAAACCAAGAAACTCCTTCAAGTAGTTTTCTGGCTTCAGTATGGAAACAATTGCTCCCTGCCTTCTTCTTGGATGCTTTCTCAGCTTCTACAGCCTTGGATTAGCTGTGGTTGCCCTCCAAGTACTAACTACATCTGACCCTGCTTAGCTTTTAGGGATCAGCCAAGGTTAACTAGGAACTGCCACTAGCTAGTCACTTAAACAGTATCACTATTAGGATCAGCTATCAGATTGCTTTGGATAGACAGTACATTTCTAAATGTTATACAAGAAAATGTATGTTATAGATTGTTTCATAAGGTGTGTACTTGTACATCAGAAATTGACTTCAATGAACCATCCAGGGTTTGCACTGGCTTTGTGCCATCCATTATTCAGGTTCAGATTTAACCACATCTTTTGCTAAGACGTCTAGAGTTAGCTAGAAGTTTTGGCTCAGATACAGGCAGTGATGAAAAACACATGAGCAATAGCAAGTTTTCTTAGCATTATTCTTCAGTGCTCAGATAGACTAATCCACAGAAGGAGTTTATTCAAGTATTACTCAGGGTGCCAGGAAGAACAGGACCTTTAAAGGGATTTTTAACCCCTTTAAAATATTTACTGTTCATTTTATAGGCTCAATCTGTCTTTTATACATTATGAAGTGGAAATAATTTCCTCAGGTGGAATACTGTTTTTTTGAAGGACTTGACAAATTTGCAAGGTAGGTGTTTTTTAAAAAAAACTTTTTATTAATGCATCAGTGTTCTAATGAAGTAATATTCTTTTGTTATTATTAATGATGTATTTTAAATACTGTTCAATGTTTTACAGCATATATTACAACATAATGCACTGTAATTTAATTGCTTTTATCCTGTGAACAGAAAAATATAAAATAATGTTTTTGAACAGATCTAGTAAAGGACAGTAATTTTTATGAGAGAAAAAGCATATAATAATTTTATGCTTGATGGACTCAGTTGCAATCTTATATGTGTTTATTCAGAATTCAGACCTACTGAATTCAAGAGAACTTTCTGCCAAGTAAGTGTACTGCAGACTCAATATTTGTATTTAGCCATATTTTCAGCAATTCACAGTCACCCCCCTTTGGAGTACCCTAAGGGATGAAAGAGAATGGGGGTCAGCACAGAATGCCTCCCCTATTCTATCAGTAGAGTCCTCTACTGTATAAAAAACAGAAAAGTAGAACTGGATTGAACTTCCTGTAATTAGCATTTAGAAATTAGCCAGTAGACGAAGAAATAATATGTATTACAAATCATTGTGTTTATCATTATTCTGTTTGGACTGTTTGATTAGGTCAAACAAAAATGTTGTGTATCTAATGAAAACCATTTAGGCTGCAATCCTATAATACCTGGGGATGCCATTGAACTCAATCAGACTTACTTCTGAATATACATAAGGTAACACTAGCAGACAATCCATCATATTTCATGTATATTTCATGTTATTTGCTTTATAAAGATTCTATGTTCAGTTTACTTTGCACATATAAATCTGTGGCTTCACAAATATTCATGCTTTTAAAGTAAGGGTATATGAGTATTACCTGGCAAAACTAGACAGAAAAGCATTCTGCCTTATGCTCTATGCATATGCATTCTCTAACATTTCAAATTAAGCAACTCAGCTCTCTGATGTGAACTTAATAAAGTATCAACATTATTTCTGGCCAAGCTGGCAGCCTGAATCAAAGCATTTTCTCTTCCTTTAAAATAGTGATTTGCTTTGCCAAAACAAAATTTCGGAAACTTTTATCCAGACAGCCAATGAATTTAATTGGAATACTTTTCTTATTATTAAGATAGTATGTTAAAATTACATTTTAATAAGATGCAGAAATTCTAACCTGAGCTTAGGTAAAGTTTAATATTATTCAAAATCACCAATGATTTACTTCAAAACAGGGCCTTATTCCTTAAAATATTGGCAACTGTTAATATTCTAATGGTTTGTTGGATAGAAAAGACCACCATACATACATTATTTTATAATACTGAACGTACATTTTGAGACAGTTTAAGAATAATCTTTTTTTAAAAAGTTAAGCAACCTGGTGTCCTTCAGTTATTTGGAACTAGGGCGGGCAGAGTCAAGCGTAAGCACCTAGATTGAACTAGTCTACTCATGAGGAAGCCATGCTTTGCTCTATTCCTCTGCTGAACATATAGTCATGGGCAAACTTGAGTTTGTATTAAAGTTATATATGAAATGTATCTAATACAAATGAAAAGATGCTAACGTAGCAGTGTCTTCAGTGATTTGGAAGGGAAGGGGCTGGGAGTGTCACTATGGGTCAGAGAGGGTGCCAAGATAACTTAACAGAGAAACAGTTGTTAAAAGGGAGCTTTGGTCATGGCAGCAGATACCACAGCAGACGTGTCAGCCTTAAAACTGCCACAACAGTTTTTGTTGTGGTTACAGACCATGATATGGTAGTCATTTCCCTTAATCAGTTAATTCTAAACTATGCAGTGTAACAATATACACATCCTTAGGGGGCAGGGCAAAGACAGTTCATGAAAAGGTACTGAGAGTTTCAGCAGCTCACAGAATTTTTCCCTGTCTGCTTTCATTTTAGTGGCTCAATGAAATTCAGGATTTTATTGGATAATTTAATACTTCCAAACAACAATGTAATGCAATTTTTTGTCAGCAGAACAGATGCAGCATCCTGTAACAGCATAAAGAAATGCCTAGATCCAGCTATTAAGCTGCTCTTCTAGAATTCCCTTTTAAAATGCTATCCATGATTTAAGATATGCACAGCTAGGACACTGATAAGGCATCTAGTACATTAGAGAAGTTAAGCATCTAGAGTTTTACAAAATGCAATTTTTCTCTAAGAACTCATATGTGCACACTCATACACACTTTAATTAGGAGGCCAAGCCAAAGTATAGAGAACGCAGAATTATACTGCTTATCAAGTTATAGAGAATTTAATATAATCTCTTCTGTTCCAAAAATCATACCACCAATCTTCTACTATGTATCTTAAATAACTACATCTTATTTATTTTCCACCTTAATTTAATGCACATATTCAGATTACTGAGAGATCATAGGTGTTGGACTATTATGCATTCATTTTATCTTCATCTCTTATGAGTTGGATGAAGTATTTCCTCTACTCCATGACTTTATTTAACTGCATTTCCACATTGTCCAATAACTGAGGCTCTCCAGTTTTGCACAAAATAGCCAGATGGAATGCATCTTAGATCCCTGAAGGAACTAGCTGTGGTCTAAGTATAATGTATTGATAAATTCTGGAGAATGGCAAAATGCCAGGTTACTGGAATAGACAAATATTCCTATTTTGGAAAAGGTGGGAACTGAGGATGTAGAAAAACCACAGACCAATCAGTCTAACACTGATACATGGAAAGATTCTAGAGCAGCTCATAAAGAGATGGATCTACAAGCACCTTAAAAGCAACGTAGTATTTACCAGAAGACAGCATGGATTTTTCAAAAACAAGTCTTGCCAGGCTAACACCTCATTTTAATAAAGTGTGGGAATGCTGCAGGCACACTTTATTTTCTTGCAAACTCTGCCAGAAAAAAGGAGGAGGAAAACTGTAGCTATAATGACTTTTTTCAGATTTAACTCTTTCCAATTATATCATAGAACTATATTCTGCTTTTGGTACCCTGCAGACTAAACTATGTCAGTAGATTATGTTCTGGGAGAACTGCTGGGAGGAATGATTATGATTTGCAACCGGGACTCCATTCAATTATCTTTCAACTGTGTGCTTCTTTACACACAGAACAGACTGGACTCTGAGTCAGATAGGAACTGCTATAAGTTTTTCTAAACTTTTCCAACCCAACTCAGTAGCCCTAGTTTCCTTCCAAGCTACAACATTTCATTTCTAAAGGCCAAACGGATAATTTTGGCAATAGAGACTGACTACTCTGCAACAATCAAACCCTTTATATCAAAAGTTCAAATTTCTAAGAAAAAACTAGTGTTCCATATAATTCCAGAAATAAAACATTTAAACCAACATAGTTGTTCAAATGAAATCTCAACAGATGAATTAATATTTATATTCTAGACATTTATGTGTGGCAACTTTTTAATCTTTCTGAAATTACAAGATCAATGATGGTATTTTTCTGTTTGGCACTCATTTATTGTATTTTGTTCTAGGGATGTGCATTCTGCAAATATGAAGGAATATATACTTCTGCTTCTTGTGGCTTTGGGTTCTGCTAAGCCTTTCCAAAAGCCTTCATACTTCACCTTTAAGAACATAATGCTCATGGATATGGAAGACCTGGATGATGATGACGACGATGATGATGACAATGATGATAAGGATGAGAATTCCCTTTTTCCTACCAGAGCACCCTTAATACCATTTGACATATTTCCAGTATGTCCCTTTGGATGTCAGTGTTACTTAAGAGTTGTTCACTGTTCTGATTTAGGTAAGGATAATTTTCATTTAAAGCCATACCTATGCAACACACTGGTGATGTAGAAATTTGTAGTTAGCTTTTCTTAGCTTCCTAAGAAGAAAGTCCAGAGATGCACTGACACCATTTCAATGCCCACCTTAAGCTTTAAGGATTTTCCCATCAATTGATCTTGAATGGGAGCTGTAATTGGCCTACTGACTTAAGGAGATCCAAAATGGGCAACCTCCCCTTTTGCTGTCTGGAGTCAACAAAAATGGCAATTTTGTAACACTCCAGAAAGCTAGCTTTGATGATTTGACAGAATTACAGCTCCTTTACCTCTGACAGGGTACATTATCTGTGGGAGAGTATACTGCTGATTTTCAGTTGTTAGCTCAAAATATGGACTGGAATGAAAAAAGCTTAACTGACCAGTTTAAATGGGACAAATTCATTCATCAGGGAACCCCAGCAACTTTACTGTATCAATCCAAGTCTGCTTGGGTATTGACAGGAGACTCAAAGAATTATGCAGAGAATGAATGGGAGAGCAGGCCCCACATAGTTGGGCAAAATCAAGGAAGCAAGAATTACACAGATTTCAGTAAGGTATTTGCAATGTTTAAATAAAGACTGTTGGAAAATATGAGAGAAATTTTTCACTCCCATTTACTGCATAGTGAGTTAAGTAAGGCGAGATCTCTTTGAATGATTCTTCTCAGGATTCTTGTCACCTGAATTAAGTTGCCATTTATGAGATAAGCTGTTACCTGAATTAAGTTGCCATTTATGAGATAAGCTGTCAACTGTTACTTCTATCTATTGACTATGGCTACTCTTCCATTACTTTCTCAGCCTCCCCACAATCTCTCATAGTGCCAGTACACGCAAGGTCTATGCTTATATTATGGGAAATCTTTGCATGGAAGTGCTCTCTCTGACAAAACATCAGTTAAATGTTATAGTTGGGGTGGATGGGGGGGTGGGAATTTTACAAGCAGATGACCCAAGTATTAATTGGGAAGTTATTTAGTCCCAAACTTTTAGACTTCAGAGGCTAGAACACTCAGAAATTAAGGCAAGCACACTTTGCAATTTAGTCACTCCTGTTACTCTACAAATCCATACAGGCCTTGAATACAGCTGCAGGCCTTGATAGCTTCTGGTTCTAGAAGGAATTGAATATGACCATCTGATGCATATAAATATAATGCTGCATATAAATATAATCACTCATTTTGTCAACCCCCCTATGAAATAATAGAAACTGCTCTGCACAAAGTAAAAATTCAGAACTTTTGTCAAGAGTTGTTGACAAAGAAATGGAGGAGATGGAAGTTCTTCCTTCCTAGTACCTGCATCAGAATAATAAGAGAATGAAATTCCAAAAAGGGGGCAGCCTCTCAACTTGGAAATTACCCCCCTCCTGAAATCCACAGAGAAGGGGTAGGAGGGGTAGAGACTTTTGAAAGGTTGGAAATTTTGTCAGCTCCAGCCAGTAAACAGATACAAATGGAAGGAGAGACACAATGCCTTCCAGTTTCTCATGACCAGGGAGAAATGCTCCTGACATCTCAAGTGCAAGGATGGAGGGAAAGGAGAATAAAGAAAGGGAGATGGTGTGAAGGTTGAATCTGGAAGGCTGGAAGAGCCTCAGAGCAGATAAGATGGTTATGTGAACTTGATGCCCTCCAAATTCCAATGTAAGAAAATAGCAATAAAAAATCTATTGCCATAAATGGCCAAAAGAAAGAGACCTGGAATTAAAGTCTGGGGCTGATACCCACATCCAGAGCTATATTCCTTTATTGTGTAGCGGCTGATCATCTTAGTAGAAATAACTTCATGTTTGCAATAAAGCTCTTATTTAACCATGGTGACTACTTAAAGATTCTGCTGTTCGCTAGTTAATTAAAGGGAAAAAAAAAAACCTGAAATAAGGTAATGGCAAACCATTGTTGCCAAGAAAACTACAAAGATACATATCCATTATGTCACCAGGAGTCAAGCTTGACTTAAAAAAAAGATGCTACCTTTAATGTTTTGTTTTACAGTTTGTCTTTTTAATGAATTAATTAATTTTAATTATCTATGTGGTATTTTTTAATTGTTCATGGGTTTTTGGTTTTAATTGTGAGCTGCCCAGAGTCACCCGTTGGGGGTGATGGGCAGCATACACATTAAACAAACAAACAAACAAATGTACAAAATGATCTTCTAGGTGAATGATTACATACATTTGAAGCTGAGAAACAACTTTTTTTCATAGAGATCAGTTATTTTATTCTGTAAAGTTACTACTGAGATCTTTCTATAGTACTTTATATGTTATATATAGAACATAGAAACGCAGAAGTAATTCATAAAATAGTTAATTTCTAAAACAATGTCAATATTGAATGGAGCTAATACATGATTAACATGATAAACAAATAATTTATCTGGATTCTATAATCTACCTGTAATTTACCTTTAATTGAAGCTCTCCATGCAGACTTGTGAAAAGGTTTGTGTAATTTATGATTTTACAATGGCCTACCATTTCTATATTTTAAATCAATATCTTCAAATTATTTCATTTTTTCTGAAGCTTACCAACATGCCACTAAAGACTAACATTACATGTCACATAATCCTTGATATGGGTATACACAGATTTAATAGTCTGCTCCATGTGTACTTCGGAGAATTCAATTAAAAAAAATACTATACAGCTGCATATATGAATGGGCAAAATGCCTGTGTGCGCGCGTGCATCTTAAGTGCTGCAAGATGCTGAGTGTTGGGAACCCCTTCATAGGGCAAGAAGAAGTAAAGCTAGAAGAACAAATGTGGGATTCTCAATGCTTGGGAATTTAGGAAAGGATGTTTTGACACCACTCTTATTTTTATGAATATGTCACTGCACATCTTGTTCTTCTTAAACACTGTTCTTAAGAACCCTCTGAACAAAAGGCCATCAAGAAATGGGAGAAATTAGCTTTTTATAGTAATAATAATTTTTTAGACTTTGATGTATTTTCTATGCCTTGTAATTGACCGTACCCCACCCTCCTTATGCTGGTCTTTGACCATAATAAAGGTTTGACTTGAAGAAAGGGGAGAATGTTTATTATTATTATTTGCAAATTAAAAACACAAGAACATTATTTTTATCTTTTGGAAGACGAGTTAGAAAATGTGTTGTGCTCATTAAACAAACAAACCATCTAAACCTTCAAAAATAAGTTTTTGATAGACAACAGAATTACCTATTCCTCACTGCTTTATTTACTTAAAAATATTAATTATTTGGAAATTAAATTTTGCAAACAAATTGATTACTTGATACAGCATTGTCACTTATTGCTGATTATGTGCCATCAAGTTGTTTTCAACTCCTAGTAACCACATAGATAGATGTCACTTATTAAGAAATGAAAAAGAGCATTTGACTTTACTGTAATGACAAAAACATGGGATATCTATGTGTTTTTGTCCATGTAGATATATACCTGATGGATCCTATTGGTTTTCAGAGGGTGTTTGGGGATTTTTCCAGCTCTCTGATGGAGCCTTCTGTTCAGGCCCTGGTAAGTGGCTGATATCAGACAGTGAACCAGGCAGGCACTGGATGCTATTGCCACTGAGCAGCCTGTTTCTGGAGTCCAATCATGGATGGCACCTTGGTTTACCAAAGTCAGCTGGGAGGTGAAGTGCCACAAACAATACCTGGAGGCCACTGGAGGAAGCCCAGAAGTGAATCTAACCAAGCATGGATATGTGCCCATGTTCAGGTGTACTTGTGGTGATAGGAGAGGTGAAGCATACCTACTTCTCCTCTTGTAGACAGAGTCATTGGTGGTGACTCAGGCATTGCCTTGTCCTGTTATCTGGTACTTCTTTTGGTTTGTGATCTCCAAGGAAGTGGATAGATGTGTTTCGGTTGCCTTCTACCACCTTGCCCCTCCCAGCTTGTATAGGAAGCAGACAGGAGAAGTGACCATTTGAGTCCAGGAAATTGTGGGACTAGGAGCTTCTGGCAGTCTTGATATGATGTAATGTGCCTCAAGTATCCTTAGACCCAATGGTGTTAGAGAATTACTGATCAGTCGTCAACCTTCCCTTTTTTAGGGAAAGTTGTTAAGATGCTAGGGGTGGATCAACTTTGCAGCTCCTAAAGAAAATGAATTATCTGGATCTTTTTCAGTCAGGGTTTAGGCCTGGTTTTGGGACAGAGATACTGTTGGTCAATCTTCTAGATGACCTACTGTGTATTGTGACTTGGATGGGGAAAGTGTGCCTTTCCTGGCCTTATTAGACCTCAGCAGCTTTTGATACCATCAACCATGGTATCCTTTTGGACTGCCTGCGAGGGTTGGAGATAGGAGTGTTGTTTTACAATGGTTCCACTCCTTCCTTAGTGGGCAGTTCCAATCTATGTTGGTGGGAGAGGTTGGCCCAGTGGCCCAATTTGTGGAATGCCACAGGGGTTGGTCCTGTCTCCTCTGCTTTTTAACATCTATATGAAGTCAGTGGGGGAAGTTGTCTGTAGTGAATAAACAAGACATTTTCCAACCGTTTAGGGAGGGGTATTCCCAACTGTGCATTGCCACCCAGCCTGTGGGAGAGATGCTGTTGCTAACCTTTTCTGGTGCCTAGAGGCTGTCAGGTTCTGGATGGGAAAGAACAGACTGAAGTTGAACCCTGCCAAGTTTGGGTTGCTGTTGATACATCAAGGTCCTCTGTCGCAGTCAGACTTACTCCTTGACAGGCAGGCACTACCTATCAGGGAGCAGGTTCATAACTTGGAGGTGCTTTTGGGCTCCAGAGTGGTCTATGCCCAGCTTCAGCTGGTGTGCCAGTTCTGCAACAAAGACAGGAGGTCCTAGCTACTGTAACTCATGCTCTTATCACCACCCAGTTAGACTACTGTAATGGACTCTACTTGGGACTTCACTTAAAGAGTATTCAGAAGCTACAGTTAGTTCAAAATGAAGCAGCTGCATCTTTTGGCCTCTCAGCATTGGGAGCACATTACACCATTTTTTGGACCTTGCATAGTTTGCCAGTTGTTTTCTGGGTCCAATTTAAGGTGCTAGTGCTGCCTTATAAAGCCCTTTATGGCTTATCACCTGGGTACCTTCAGGACTACCTACTTCTGTCAGTATCAGCCTGATCAGTTAGAGCTACCTGAAAGAAACTAATGAAAATTATACACTTTCAAGAGGCTTGGCAGTGCTTCTTTGTAGAGAGCCAACATTGTGAAACAGCCTGACCATGGAGATCTGACTGGGTCTCTCTTTGTTGGCCTTTTGGAAGCTCTTGAAGACCAAATTATTTCAGACAGCTTTCCCCTGATGTGAATGTTACCATCTTTATTTCATTTGTAATTTATGATTTTTACTTTTAATGGTTTTTGTAGCTGTATTATTTTTACTGTGGATGTTTTAATCCGTATGTGTTCTATATGAGGCACCAAGAGTCTCCTTTGCTTGCAGTGCACAGAAATACGTTTAATAAATAAATATTAAAATTTATTTCTTATTTTTATTATAAATAGGCTTGACTTCCGTACCAAGGAATATTCCATTAGATACTCGTATGATAGATCTTCAAAACAACAAAATAAAAGAGATCAAGGAAAATGATTTTAAAGGACTCTCATCACTATACGTAAGCTTATTTTCTGAACTTCCTCTCAGGACACTCTATCATGCTTTATTTTGATGTATAAAAGCTGAGTAATAGCATAAAAGTCATACAAATCAATGTTCAAACAGATAAATAAAAATAATTCTTTTGGAAAATTGGTTGTTATTTGATCTATATTAATCACATTTTCAAAATTGATCAATGTGTGATCATTTTATCAATCTACAGTGAAACCATAAAAGAAAATCTTATATGTAATATTAGAATTAAGTCCTATTTTCCTTTGGAAGTCTTGAGTGACTCCCTTTCCATGTTACTTGTGCTTTCTTCAATTTCATGTTGGAGCTTTCTGGCTTGCAAAAGTTTGAATACTTAAAAAAAACAAAAACAAAAATAATACATTCCCATTTGAAGAATATCATATTCGCCTTTTAAGCGAGAGCGTGAAAATAAAACCAGTGCTTAACTTTATGTTCCTATTTTGTATAGGCCCTTGCCTTGAACAACAACAAAATAACAAAGATCCATCCCAAAGCTTTTCAGTCAACAAAGAAGCTGCGGCGCCTCTACTTGTCCCATAATCATTTAACTCAGATCCCAGAAAATCTGCCAAGAAGTTTAGCTGAGATAAGAATTCATGACAATAAAGTTAAAAAGATTCATAAAGACATATTTAAGGGAATGAAATCTTTACATGTTTTAGGTAAGTATATCATTTATTCAAAATTGCTGGATAATAGCGGGGTGGGGGGGACAAGTTACTCTGTGAACCCCCCAGAGTTGCCAGGAGATGGGAGGTATACAAATTGAATGAATGAATGAATGAATGAATGAATGAATGAATGAATAATCCATCCATCCATCCATCCATCCATCCATCCATCCATCCATCCATCCATCCATTACAGTAGAAATTTAGATTGAACAAGCTAAAATGAAAAAAGGTCAGAGCAGTAATGCTTGTTGGTGGATAGTAATAGAACTATCTGCATGCTGAAGGATGCAAATGTATAAATAAGCATGACAGCTATGTGATTTAGGATTTACAAATTATTTGTGAATACACACACACACACACATATATATATATATATAATTCAGACCATTAACACAATAAAAATCAGCAGCTTCATTATAATATTCTCTGTAATAAGTTAAAAGTTTCATTTGTTTATATAGCCTCACTATAATATTCTCTAGATTAAATGCTTAATTTGTTTCTATCTGATTACCTACCTACCTACCAATTTTCCACAGTATATATTTGGCAATTTATTCTTGTAGCTTTTGTTGAAATGTTCCCAGGTTCAAATTACCATGCAGAATTTTGCTTGCAATCTTCATGACATTTTCTGTTGAAAGCTGAAATGTCATTGCTCAGACAGAAGAGTTACTGGATTCTGACACATGAGTTTATAGTTTAGTAAAAGAATCACTCAAACCTAAGGTAGACTACATCACACAGCACGGATGTGGACACAAACCAACAGTTCTGTAACATTACAACAGCAAGTCTTGCCTCCTCATTTCGAAATTCCTCAAAACCTCCTTTTTTGTGAAACAATGTTCTATTTTGCAAGGATTATGTAGGTTTAACATTTTTATGGGAGAGTGCAGTTTGTAATTTTTATTTAAAGGTGAATAGCAGGTACTGAGCTGCTTCTATCACCAAAACAATGTGACCTTGGGACAAAAGAAGGCAAACAAGCTAATCTGCTTCAGACATAACACAAAGCCATACTTCAATGAGTTTGGGTCTTAATTGTGATATATGTAATTTACAGTTTGCTTGCCATGGTTTCTATTTTTTCAGACTACACGAAGCCAAAAACAAATGAAACACACATATAAAGGAAGCACTCCTTTAAAAGAATTAATGCTATCTTTTTCTAGTTAAAACTTCACAGGTAGAACATACATTCCTATTTGTGCTGCAGAGCTTAAACAGAACAGCTGCCTCCTGGAATTGAGAGAAAACAGATCATCATTTGTTTACTAGAACTGAATATGTGGAAAATTCTTGTTTGGTAATAGCCTACGTAGAAACAGACTTGAGAACCCAAGTCATTCTGACTGCTAGTCACCAACCTAGAGGTCAGAAGACATGATGAAAACTCCTTAATCTCACAACACGTGGACAGACTTAACCATAGTTTCAACTGGGAAACTGTCAGCATCTTAGGG